CATGGAGGAAGTCAGATAACGGAGGAAGAAACACAGCAAGGGACGACTGAGGAGGAGAGGGAAGTGGAGGAGGAGAGTCATGAGGAGGAGAGAAACGAAGGCAAATAGGGTGGAAGTCCGAAACAGGGGTCGAGGGACAAGCACGAGAGAAATTTTAAAATATCCGTACGCCGGCGCGATGCCTCCTTCTCGACCAGCCGACGCATGAGTCGCCGAAGTCGGCTTGACTCCACTCCGCAGAGGAGATTGACGTCGACCATCGTTGTTGCCGTTCGAGCTGCCTCCAGTCGCAGACGATCGCAGCACTTGCGCCTGCATTCCGCCAACGCTGACGTCGGCGGGCCGTATCACTCCGCGAACCCTCGTGCTTCCACCGCCGACAACATTGCCGCCATCACCTTCGTTGTGCACGGGTCGGGGAGAGGCGGACGCGTCCTCCGCTTCTGCACGGGGGGGGGGGGTGCTCACGCGCCCACTACGTACGAGTTCCAAGGAGCAGAATCTCCAAGTCCGCCTCGCCGTACCCGCCAGCCTCGTGGCGTGCTCGAACACCAGCCTCTCTCGCCTGCAGAGTATCTTCTACGCCTGCTTCGACTACAGGGTCGACCATGGCGACTAAGACGGCTGCCGGCCTACAACGACTTAGGTAATGAACGTAGAAGTTGGGTAATCTGAAGGTTCTAACGCGGGGCCATCCACGCTCACCACACCATGCGGAGAGTCACTACACAACGGGAGTGGACTACGGTGGAGGGCACGGGGTTGTGCGAGAGATCGTAGCTTGCACTAGCGTTCTTACTGCTTGCTTGTGTTCACAAAGAAGTTTGGCAAGAATTCCACTAAGGATAGTTGAAAGAACAACTTGCAATGAAAAGTTGATAGTACAATTGAGGTATGCAGAACAAAAGGACTAGAAGGGCATGCAACACCTAGCTAGGGCAAAATCTGCCAGCGCAGCAGAAGAGCGGCTTGCCAACGCTGCAGCAGAGTAGTCTCAGCGTTGCACTGCGCGCGGTCTGCCAGCACTGCAGTAGCAGGTGACTATCTGCAGTCGCAGGTAACTATCTGCAGTCGCAGGTTGTCTATCTGCGCAGATGTGCGCACCTACCAAGTAGGTGCACGTTGGCGGTTTCACCGTCAGGCACATTGCGCAGGTGCCAGGTAGAAAACGTGTCGTCGGCTTCGCCAGGTGCGCACCGTCGACCACGTGATGCCGTTCCGCATGTAGAACTTCGCCAAAACCTCCTGGGCGAAAGTTCGCACGCCTCCGCAGAGTTTCGCACAACTCTGCAACTTCGGTCGATCAGCTCGACATCGATCGGTCGAACAATGTTCGCCAAGCAGAGCTTCTCGACCCGAACTCTTCGACCAGAGTTCCTTGACCAAGATCGTCGACCAGCGCTCTTCGACGGGAGCTCGTCGCGCAGAGATCGTCGACCAGAGCTCGTCGCGCAGAGATCGTCGACCAGAGCTCGTCGACCAGATTCTGTCGAGCAGAGCCTGCTCGACCGCAACTTCCGTCGAACTGCAGAAGCCCACTTCTTCGACCAATCCGTCGAGAACTTCCCGTCGACGGCGATATCGGCTGCGCCCAAGCGAGGGCGGGGCCTTTCTCTTCGACAGTTGTTACAACCATGTATGCTATTATACTAGCCATTCTGACCATTATGTTTTTTTACGAACCCCCTCGTCGGCCACGCCAGTCAAAGTCGGCCGCCGACTTCCCATCGTCCGTGGCTTTGCAGTGGTCCCGTGCAGGTCGACCAACTTCGTCGACCTGCACACTCAAGTCAGCGACGTCACTGCGGGCTGCACCTCTCGCTCACCCGACTGCAAGTTCGGCTTTGCCCAAGCGAGGGCGGGACAATTTTCCGTCAACATAAGGCGTTTGGGGTAATTTCGCCGGAATCGAGCTGATTTCGAGCCCATCCCGAATCCGCCTGCATGGAGAACACCACCATAAACACCTCTTTGAGCCACTAGATGAGAACTATGACTCTAACTTGACAACTTATTTGGTCGCGTTGAATTTCTATATACTGTTCTGTTCGTATAATCAATTCGACTATGGCGACACGGGACTCGCTGGCGGTTCCCAGCCGTCCACGTGACGTTCTTGTCCGAATCCATGGACTCAATTTACAGGTGGGGGAGCAGCTTGCCTTCCTCAGCAGCAAGCCCACATGCCCATACTGCGGGGAGCCGGAAACCCTGGAGCACTGTCTCGTTCAGTGCCCTCGAATCCAGGCTGTCACCTCGGCTCTCCGGCGTGCCTTGTGCATGTTCAATCCAAACCGCGCAACGGCCACGTTGGGTGATCTTCTGTTCCGGAAAACCAGCTCCAACTCAGCATTTCTGGAGCTGACCATCACGGCAATCACTTTTCACCAACTGTTGTTGGAGCGCTGTGATGCTGTATTTCGGGGCGGGAAATTCCAGACGCAACGGATGTTGCAGAGGACCGAGTTCGCTTTCAGGCAGCATGCAAAAAATTACCTTCGTAAATTCGGGGTGACGTGGCGAAAACAGAAGCAGAGGGGGCCGGCAGAGGAGCAAAGGCTGTTACGGAAGATAAAACTGGATGGCAGTGGTTGGAAGTGGACAACTGCGTTTGCGACAATCTAGTCCAAAAGGAGGGCTCGGCCCTAGGTGTCTCAGCTGGGGCGGTAGCATGTCTACTGTTCCTTACGCACGGTTACGACCGTCATTGGTAGCATATACTTGTTCATTCGGTGTATGTTTATCAAATAATATTATATAAAAATAACGAGTATGGCACGAAACAGAGTGTAGTCACACGAAGGACCTCTAATAGGGTGAAGAGGCGCCTTGCCTTGCCATTTTATTGGCTCAGCTTCCTTTCTGCCTAGATGAGCTGTCTTTCCACGTGGCAAGTGAAAGAATAGGGTAATTATCTTCTGGGTAACCAACATCGAGCCCGCTGACGTAAGCAGACACTTACGTGGCTCGATGGTACCCGTCAGATCTTGCGCGCCCCTTTGTGGTACCTATCTTCCCTGCGTGGTATCCATCTTCCCTGCGTGGTCACCATCAACTGTACTCGATTTCCCTGACTGGTACCACAGCATTTCAACCGAGCAGTACACCGTACAACAAGGGTTTCAATGCCTTTTTCAGTATATTGTACCAACGTTTACAATCTCAATAGAGTCAGAAGCCCGAAGTGCCACATAATCGAGTCAATACATTAAACGCTTTAACTATGATATAGTGTAGAAAAACGAGCTGGATGCTTAAAGAAAACATTCATTGTGTAGGTTTTTTAGACTCAAACAAATCCACAAAAGGACGTGATATAATATAACGAAAATATGATATATTGCATCAACCTAAACGGAAAAACAAATGCATTCGCATAAAAAACATTCATCTTACATATAATGTGTACAATATTGAGGTAAATTTGATTTCGCAGAAACAAATGAATGCTCGTATTATTTGTTACTGCTTTTCAATTTAGCTATGGGGGCACATGTTCAATTTATTTGCATACGGCCTTAGGAACTGTGTTCGAATGACCAAATGATTTCTTTTTTTGTTGCACTCTGTCGAGTGTAAGGCACGTTATAACATTTCTGTTCAAGGGTATTTATGTTCACTTAGAGTTTGTGAACGTTGTTACAATATACTGAAAATGGCATTGAAACCCTTGTTGTACGGTGTACTGCTCGGTTGAACTGTTGCGGTACCAGTCAGGGAATTCGCGCACAGTTGATGGTGACCACGCAGGGAAGATGGGTACCACGGAGGGAAGATAGGTACCACGAAGGGGCGCGCAAGATCTGACGGGTACCATCGAGCCACGTGAGTGACTAATGACGTCATCAGGCTCGACGATGGTTACCCAGAAGGTAATTACCCGAAAGAATATCGGCGGTTGAGGATCGAGCCGCTTCTCTCAGGAGTAGACATCGACTGAACTGTTTTCGGGCTGCCCCCTGTTGTATGCACTAAGGGTTTGTTAGGACTACAGTGCAGACGATGTGGAAAGGTCGAAGTCGTTGAGACACTGGCTACTGCCATCACAACACACAATCTCCTGAACTGTCGTGTTGTACAATTCCGCAAAACCAAAAACAGAAACATCAGCTATAAACCAGTCGAACCACGAAATACAGTAACTATAAATTTCAGCACTACCTCACCCCGCAATTTCAGCGCAAACCACCTCATTCCCCGCCACCAATCCGCCATTCCCCCTCGCATCACTTATCCCATCCGATCCGCTGCCCATCTCTCCTCAACGCACTTACACTGCACCGACATCACCATCAGGATTCTGGACAAGAGATTCTGGGGCTCCCAGCCAGCCAGGCAGGTGCGCCTGGGAGTACAGGAGTGATGGATTTGAGGAACGTCAATGGACGTCCAACGTCGCTGGGGAGGGGAGTAGTTGCCTGTGATGTCAACCTGATGTACCGCAGAGGAGTGACGATAACTTAGCATATTCTCTCCCGTGCGAGCGAGCGATCCATGTGAAATACCTCCTTTTTTGTTCACTAAAATCGCATCTTCTGTGGAAATCGCCGCAGCTAGGGGTGCGAGATGGAGTGATTGCTTACTCGAAAAAACAAACCCCTCGGAGTAACCCACTGATGAGGTGTTTGTTCAAGACAATACTACTTCTCGACAACTCTGCCGGCAGATATCGTCGTCATCGCCGTTTAACACCCGAAATCCATCCAACCGCTCGTCTAACAACGGCTATAATGTCCGCTCTTACCTTCCTCCGGTTGTGACTCCTGCGCAAAACCAAGATCGTCGCTCATCCGCAAGTTGAGGGGAAGAAGAGGCAGCTGTATGAGACATCTGAAAACAGGAGGAAGCTGTATCTGGCAATACTGGGACAAGACGGCACGAAGGAAGGGATTTAGTGAAGGGTTCCGGCAAGAGCAGTTACTGTTCCGTGCCGAAGCAGCGTGAATTCGTGAAATTCGATTAGATCGTCTGGTTGTTTTGCGCGATCCGAGGTCTGCGCCATGGCTTGGCCGATCGACTCTACTGTGAAGCTCGTGCTCGGGATTTTAGGTTCGTGGCTCTTGTCGCCGTAACCTCGTGCCCCGTCGCGTGCACTGAATATGTCGCATCCATTAACAAAAAAATGCGCACTTCTCCGATTGTATACCAATCTCTATCTCCGCACCCGCGTTTTTTGTATGAGCGAGACACGCGCGCACGCGTGCACACTGATACGAACCCAACCATCACGCGCGATCTCACTCTCTTTTCCCTCTTCCCACGAACCACAGGCAATGTAACAGCTCTCGCACTCTTCCTTTCCCCTGTGTAAGCCCTCACCATCAATCCCTTCCATCATTCCCTTCCATCATTCCCTTCCATCATTCCCTTCCATCAATCCCTTCCATCAATCCCTTCCATCATTCCCTTCCATCATTCCCTTCCATCATTCCCTTCCATCAATCCCTTCCATCAATCCCTTCCATCAATCCCTTCCATCATTCCCTTCCATCATTCCCTTCCATCATTCCCTTCCATCATTCCCTTCCATCATTCCCTTCCATCATTCCCTTATTCTCTATCTTCACCGGTCTTACTCCTGTCAAAGTAAAACGTCTCCGACGCAGACCTCCTCCCCGTCCCAAATGCTGCTCCTCAATTCCCAACCCCGTGTGCCATCACCAACATGGCCCCATTCCTCCTTCGCACCCCCGCGCCTTTGTTAATGCAACCCCCCCACACAACCCTCAACCTCTCCCCCCCCCTCTCCTCCGCCTCCCTTGGTCTCCTCCCCCCACCCCCTCGTCCCCTAACCCCTCCCCCCCCCCACTCTTCCCGCAGCAAGACCATGCGCACGATCCTTCTCGCGCGGTCAGTCGGAGACTTTTCGGAGCTGCCCTACGTGGTGACGCTGTTCAACTGCCTGCTGTGGACGACGTACGGGCTGCCCGTGGTGGAATCGGGGCGAGTGCTCGTGTCCACCGTCAACGGCACCGGCGCCTTCCTTGCTGCGCTCTACACCATCCCCTTCCTCGCTCTCGCCACCAGACGCACCAAGGTGGGGGATTTCGGCGAGCGGGAGGTGGGGGGGAGAGGGGGTGTGGGGGGTTGGTGGTGATGATCGGGGGCAGGAGGGTGCTTGGTCTGTGTGGCCGTGTCCTCCTGTTCATTGTGAATGGCAAAGTATCCGTGTTTCTGCTTCTCTCGGTTGCCAAACCGCCCCCCCCCCCCCCTCACCCACCCCTCCCTCCCTCCCCCTCCTCCCCCCCCTTCCTCCTCTCCTTCTTCCACCCCCGCTCCCCACCCTCTCTACACTCCCCACCCTCCCCTCCCGCTCCCCCCACCCCCTGTCCCTCCTTCCCTATCCACCCCGTACCGTCTTATTCCTCCATCTAACACTCATTGAGACAGATGCACATGCACATGCCGCACCACCTCATGGCGCTGGCATGGGCGGAATGGGCTGCCGACATGGCACGGCCAAAGCACATGGTCCTTACATAGCTTAATGGCCTCCTCTCCCCAGTTTCCTCCCGTGCAAACCATCACCCTGTCACCTTTTCTCTCCACAGTTCAGCTCTGCCTCTGGTTCATTCATTCCACATGATCCCGCGAGCCACACTCATCCATTCTGCACAATCTCGGCACCATCTCCCCATCCACACGCCATCTCCTTCCACCCTTACCTCATCACCACCCCCCCTCCCTTTCCCCTCTCCCATCCTCCGCTTCTCTCCCCCCCCTTGCACCCCCCCACTTTCGCTTCTCTTCCCCATCTCTTCCCCCTTCCCCACCCACCCGTCCCATGCTCGTCAGATCCGCACGGCGGTCTTACTGGGCGTGGTGCTGCTGCTCTTCGGCGCCATTCTGCTCGCCACCTTCCTCGCCTTCCACACGCCAGCCACGCGCAGCAGCTTCCTGGGGATCTGCGCCGTGGTGGTGACTATAGGCATGTATGCCAGCCCGCTCGATGTCATGCGCACCGTCGTGCGCACCAAGAGTGTGGAGTTCATGCCGCTGCTGCTCTCGCTCTGCTGCTTCCTCAATGGCCTCGCCTGGACAGGTGCGCGTGGCCCGTGGGCTGTGCCCTCTGTGGTATCAGATCACTGCTCCCTGTGCGCTCCTGCGTGTTTCTGACAGTGTGAAGTTTCGTGTCAAGAGTGATGTATCTATCTTCTCCTCCTTTATTGCATTGCTTTGATGAGCATGGCATTCCTTTCTTTCTGGTCCCATGTGATGACATCTTGTCCCGTTCCAACTCTTTTGCCTGTGGTTGAGACCCTTTTGACTCCACCTCTCCCAAATTTCTCTCCCCCTCACCCCTGTCCTCCCCTCTCGCCTCTCCTAATTTGCTTCTCGTGCAGCATATGGAGTATACACCATGGACATTTATATCATTGTAAGACACCTGTGATCGTGTGGGGCAGATCCTCGCAACACATCCCCTTATTCCAGACTAGGAGTGGTTACCGTTTTCATGCTTCCTTCATCATTCCACTCACCTCCATAGTTTTACTTCTTCTCAGTATCATAAAACCTTTCCACTTACTGTCTGTCTTTTTCGTTGGGTCCCCCATACAGATACCTAACTCCATTGGTGCAGTTTTAGGGACGGCACAACTCATACTATACGGCATGTACTGTAAATCTGACAAGTCAGGAGCAGGTCTGGGTGCAGACAGCAAGGAGCAACGGAAGAGGAGGGGTGGTGCTGGGGTGTGGAGAAGAGGAGGGTCAGATAGCACAAGGCAGATGTTGGGATCGAGCAATTCCCTTAGTCTCTCAAAAGATGCAATCACTCCGGAAGAGATGGTGGTGGTGGAAGAGGAGGGGGATGAGGAGACTGGTGGAGGGAAAGGGGAAAGGATAGGGGATGTAGGTGATACGGGAAAAGGTGCGTATGAGAATGGACCTGCCATTTAGACAGCAGAGATGCAGTGCTGAGTAAAATGTGGTATTAAGGCCCATGATATGTTAGGAGGTTCTTTTTTTTTGGCTTCGGAATGAAGTGCATAATAAGCAGTGCTACACCTACATCCCAATATGGTGCTGGCCCCATCCACAGTTGCAACACAGATCACCAACCTCGCTGGATTGTGATTGTGACTAGTGGGTTGTCGTTACCAGATGCAAATTCGCAACTGATACAAGGTGGTCACGAAACAGTTGGGTTTGTCTCGAACGCTCCAACTAATTGTTTCTGTTTAGCCTCTGCGCAAGGGATTCTCTGTAATCTGTACACTTTAGTTTTAGCTGCTAATTTCGAAATCCAGCTGGACTCCCCCAAATCTTGTTGCGATCGTGGCAGCAGGGCAACGCAGCTATCTGCCCTGATTCTGGCGGCTGGGAAACAAAAATCGTCGGTTTGAGGGGCAACTGCGTTGAGAAATCAGTAATGAACTCCCCTTCTTCCCCGCTTCACTTTTCCAGCACTTCCCTCCTCCCCTTCACACAACACCCACCCACACTCACTCCCCAGTAAGACTGTTCATCCGTACACTTATTTCTTTGTGAATTGGCAGGGAGGTAGCTATTGCCCCTAGGGGCTTGATACTTATTAGTCGCCAAAAAGGCACCTGATTGTTGGTCAATTGGCCTCTGGGAGTACGCCTGGGCGATGTAGTCTTAACATTATCGCGAAGTGTTTCCTGTTTCGCGAAAGCCTCTTGGCCGTGTCTAATACCCTAACATAGGCAATGGTTACGTCAGCTCTTTGGAAGCAGCAGCAGCAGCAGCAGGTAGCGCGCGACGTAATTAAACACCCCGATTGGCTTCGACGAAAACCGGAAGGATTAGTAGCATGGAAGCCGAGGCCCGGAACCCAGGAGCACTTACTGGAGCGGCGAATGGGTCACCAGAGCGTGGCATCGGGGGCGGAGCGACAGAGCGCGCGAACACAACCTCACTAGAACCCGCAGCATTCTTTACAGCGACTCAAGCAGTGGCTATAGACGGGGTGAGCCTCGTGTCGCGCGCCGCCTCGCGTATCTTCTCGTTTAGATATCATCGCTATTCAATGCGCCATACGCCCATCTAACGCCTGGTGCCCATAGTAGCCTTCACATAGCTCTCTCGAATCGCCTTCACATAATTCGCTTGGTTTAGACAAGCCTGTCAGTAACTTTTGAATAGACTCGAAACTCGTTTGATCAGGCCAGTTAACACAAGCAACCTCTGGCTGTCCTAACGCCACGTAGACTCCCTGCTTACGTGGCAACCGAGCGCGTTGCTGCGTAGCGCGGCAGCAGCGTCCTTCCGTAGCGCGGCAGTCTCAGGGGCCAGTACGGGCGGCACATGGTCTTTAATTGCTCCGTTCCTGTCTGGCCAACCAATTCGGCCATTCGTGTCTGGCCCTACCTTGCCCGCAATCATCGCTGCACTCCGCCTCCCTTCCTTTTTTCTCCCCTTACTAACCTTTTCTTATACGCCAAGTGCTCAACCCCCTCTGCGACTCTCATTGCGCCAGCTCCGTGCGTCACCCACAGTTTTTTTCCGACAGTCTAACTCGCGTCTCTCCTGCAAACCCCGTTTCATTCTCTCCTGAATGCTACAGCGCCAAGGGGTAGCACCAGCGCACCCACCTGCCAGCAGCAGCAGCAGCAGCAGCAGCAGCAGAAGAAGTGCAGTTTCCGCATTATCCGCCTTCCCATCCCCCATGGACGTGTCGCACCTAGCCTCCACCCTCGCCGCTGCCATCCCCGCCGCCTATCCCCCCCACGCGCACGCCTCCCCCGTCTCCCCGGCCTTCTCCCCGCCAATGCTCTCCCCGCGCTCGCCTGAAGTCAGTCCGCGGGGCAGCCGGCTCAAAGTGACGGCGGATATCATTATAGCGCGTACAATCGACTCTGTCCTGGACCTCTCCTTCCCTTACGGCTCTGCTGCTGCTTCCCCCTCCAGAGTAGGTCGCGGGTGGCGAGGGCAGGGCTGTGTGTGTAACGTGGTAACCACTCATGGGTTTCGAGCCTTTCCTTTGCTCTTGTGGTTGGAACTTGGTTCCATTGTCAGGGGGACTCCCATGCTGCTCTCCCTCTCACATCTCCTCCTTTCCGCCATCTTTTTTCCTGACCTGACATCCTTGCATGTCCCTCTTCCTCCCACCACTCCCCCCAATCTCCACTTTGTGTACTCAAGCTAAGCTTTCCTCCTTACTGTCTCTTCTATTCCCATTCGCCCTCTCTCTGCCCCCCCCCTCCCCCTCCCGTCCGCCCTGCATGCGTTCCCCGTTGCTTGACCATCCCCGGGGGCTGATCACCTGCTGCAGTCACCACAGCACCGCTACAGTGCAAACCAGCAGCAGCAGGCGCCGCAGCAGGAGCAGCAAGAGCAGCAGCATCTGCACTCCCAGTCCCTCCCTACGCTCATACTCCCAGATCCCACCTACAGCACCACCAGTACCGGTAGCGGTGGCAGCAGCACCACCAGCAGCAGCGTCAGTGGCTTTAACAGCAGCAGCAGCAGCAGCAGCAGCAGCGGCGGCGGCAGTGGCGTTGGCAGCAACCCAAACGGCATTGCAGACAGCAGCTTTGGCTTTGGCAGCCCCACATTCAAGCCCACCGCACCTCGTGCTTTCCCGGAACCACTACCACAACTGGGTGGGGAAGGAGCAGCCGCGGACGCGGACAGCAGCAGCCCCACAGCAGGGGAGGCAGATACGCCCAAAATAGGCCGGCCGGGGTCGCTGTGGGGGGGCGGCAAGGGGAGGAAAGGCGCGGTGTTCCCGGCGCTGCTGGTGGACGTGCCAGATAGCAGCAAGTCGCCCACAGGCGTGGGTACGCCCATCACTCCATTGCACCTCTTGCATTTCGGGTCCTGGTTGGGTGGGGTGGTCTAAGGTTCGGGTTCGGGGTTTGGGTTCGGGTTCTGGGGTCCAGGTTTTGGTGTCGAGGGTCCGGGGTTCGAGGTGTGGGGTGTGTGGGACCCCCCTTTTTGGGACATGCAAGCGACTTTCGACTCTCGTTGCTGTGCCAGGGCCCAGGGCGCTCGAAGAGTCAATTTTGAGAACTCTCAACAGTGGTTCTTCTGGTACAGCTGTAGGAGTGTTTATCTCTCTGTGCTTGCTTACTTGCCCAGTGCCGCTGCTGCTGATATTTGGAGCTGCTGTATGCTGAGCTGGGCTTTGCTTGTAGCTGGGTGGGTACTGCTATTTATGTGTGTGTATCATCACACATCACAACACCGTCTCATTCTCTTCCCCTACTTGGCTGTACCCACCTGTGTGTCCACCGTCCTTTACATCCGCCTCTTCTCTTGCAGCAGCTCACTCGCCTACCCTGTTGTCACGTCATTCATATCTCCCTCATCCCCTCACTCACCCCCCTCAGGGCGTTCCTTCGCAGCAGATGCAGCGGTGCACTCTCCTGTGCCCAGTTCGTCCACCCCACCCGGCCCCCCTGCATCCACACCCTCGTCCACCTCCTCCTCCAACCCCAGCCCTCTTGGCTTCACCTTCACACCAACGTCAGCACCAACACCAGTGGCAGCAGCAGCAGCCGCAGCAGCAGCAGCAGCACGATCAGACGCAGGTGGCCCATCCTCTCTCTCGCTCCCCACCACCCCTCCCCCGGCACTCTCTCCTTCCCTCACCAAACCCCACGCCCCGCTCTCCCCATCCTTCCCATCCCCTCTCGCCCACTCCCCGCACGCCTCCCTGTCTCCCACCTCCCTAGCAGCAACCTTCGCAGCCACCAGGGAAGCCACGCCTTCCGCCATCTGCCGATCCCCCATCGCTTCCCCTCTCAACTCCCCCGGCCCCTCCCACTCCCCCGCCCTCACGCCCTCGCGCCGCCACCTACCGCCCTTCCCCGAGCCACCCATGGTACCCTCTCTCTTCTCCGCTATGGATAAGCTTCTCTCTGTGTCCACAGGAGCAGCAGACCTCCAGGCCTCGCCGCTTCCCTCCCCCCTTGCCTCGCCTGCTCTCTCCCCCCTCCCTGCGTCTGCCTGGCCCCCTGCCCTGTCCCCTGGCCCCTCCCCTGGCCCGTCCCCAGGCCCCTCCCCGGTTCCCTCGCCTCTGTCTGCCAGTGCAAGGACCGGCGCTCTGCCATCCTTGTTTGGCCGTGGCGCCTTCCCTAGTGGGGCCGGTGGTGGCACGGGCAGTGAGGCGGGCAGCGGGGCGGGCGTGATGGGCAATGGCATGGATGGCATGTCGGGGGGGTTGCCATGGCTGGGGTTGGGGTTGGGCCCTGGGACAGGGTCGGGGTCAGGGTCAAGCAGTAGTCCTGGCAAGGCGCGCACGCTGCTAGGCCTGGTGGAGCCAGGGGAGGAGCCTGCAGCAGGGCATGTGTCCCCCTTCAACACCTCCCGCCGCCACCTCGATGCTATTCGCAGGGCCCGCCCCTCTGGCCGCACTCCAGATGGCACCTCCTCCTCTTCTTCTTCGTCTTCTTCCTCCCCCTCCGCCTCCTCCTCCTCCTTCTCCCTCTCTTCCTCGTCACCCTCACCACTACCATCATCCACCCCCACCACTGCCATCTCAACCACTGCCACACAACAACCCACTGCATCGCAAGGTGCACACACCTCCTCCCAATCCTCCTCCGCCTCGCTTTCCGCTGCCGTACCTGTGCGTATGACGGCCTCGTATCGCTCCAAGTCACTGGAGCAGGCGCCAGTGGAGGCAGCGCCGGTGGGGGTGCTGTATCAGAAGAGCCACTCGCTTGATCTGGACCTCTCAAGGGCTCTTTTTTATCGATCCGAAAGCTTGCCGGGTGCTGCTACGGCTGGTGCTGCTACGGCTGGTGCTGCTACGGCTGGTGCTGCTACGGTTGATGCTGCTACAGGTGATGCTGCTACAGGTGATGCTGCTACAGGTGACGCTGCTACAGGTGATGCTGCTACAGGTGATGCTGCTACAGGTGATGCTGCTACAGGTGACGCTGCTACAGGCATAGCAACTGCTGCGGCTGGCCCTCTCCCTGTCGCCTCTCCAGCAGCAGCCCCTGTGGCGCCTGTAGAAGCAGCAGCAGCAGCAGCAGCAGCTAGTGCCTTTTCGGGCCTGAACCCCATAGCAACTGCCATCACACCAGCTGCGCCAGCAGCAGAGGCCACAGGGTCAGGTGCGCTTAGAGAGGAAGAGGGTGAGATGGTTGGGGATACGCGAATTGTGATACATTCCGAGGGGGAGGGTGGGGTAGAGGAAGGGGAAGGTGCAGACCGAAGGGGTGTGGAGGAGGAGGGGCAAGTGGGGAGTGGAGGGGGCGAGGAGATTGAGATTCATGTGCCGTTGAGACTGCATGCGACTGCTGCACCTGAGAACGCTTCTGCTGCTGCTCTAGCTGCTGCCACCCCTGCTTCGGTTAGCGTTGTGCCTGGCGGATTGCAACCTGCCACAGCTACAACTGCTGCTGCGGAGTCTGCTGCTCTTGCTGCTGCTGCTGCTCTTGTTGCTGTTGCCCCTGCTGCTCCTCCTGAAGCTAGTGGCAACGGTTTCATGGGGCAGGGAGAGGAGAGCGGCAGGGTGAGTGCGGAGCAGGCCTCTGCTGCCGGCCATGGCAATGGCTTGCCCGGGGATGGAGTGCAAGGGGACCAGCTTCCAGTGCACAACCACCAGCAACAGCCTGGGGACCACCCAACGCAGCAGCCGCAGCAACAGCAGCAGCCGCACCAGCATGAGCTGCAGCAGCCGCAGCTGCAGCCACAGCAACAGCAACAACCGCAACAGCAGCAGCAGCAGCCACAGCAGCAGCAACAAACGCAGCTGCAGCAGCAGAAGCAGCAGGCAGCGCCACTGGTGATAAACGTGGCACCGCTGGACGCACTGTCTGCAGCGGGGCGAGTCACTTTTGACGGGCCGCTCGTGGGCGGGCTGGACGAGCCCCTGCACCTGCCCAGCTTCACCAGCGGCGCCCTGCCCTGGCAGCGCAAGAAGAGCCCCCCTCCCTTTGCTGCCGGTGCTCGTGCACTGGAGGCGCTGAGGCGAGCAGAGGGGGCACATGCTGCTGCTGCTGGGACTGCTGTTGGGACTGCTGCTGGGGCTGAGGCTGCTGGGGCGGGTGGTGAGAGCATGGCAGGTGATGGTGTTGATGAGGACGGGTTTCTGCTGTCCTCGTCTGCTCTGCCTTGGGGTGCGTCCGCAGGGGCTGCAGCAACAGGAGGAGGAGGGGGAGCAGGAACTGGAAGGGGAGGGGTGGGTGGATGGACGGTGGAACGATTGGTGGTGGAGAGGGAGAGGGAAGAGGACGGGGAGGTGGAGCATGCAAGCAGAGATGTGAATAGCGCTGGCGTGGGTAGCAGTGCTGTTGGTGCTGCTGCTGGTGCTTCTGGTGCTGGTGGTGATGCCAGGGATGACGGCGCTGGTGCTGCTACGAGCAGCAGTGCTCTGGATGGCTCGTTTGACTCCTTTGACTTGCTCTTTGGTGCCTCTGCAGGGGTGCTTCTGCCACCCTTGCCTGTGCTGCCGCCCCTCACACCCGATGCTGCACCTGCCCTTTCCTCCCACACACCTGTCGCTGTTGCCACGCCTGCCACCGCTGCTGCTGTTGTGGCGCCTGCTGCGTTGGCACCTCCCCTCCCTGCTGCTACTGCTCCTGCAGCTGCCTCAGCAGCAGCAGCAGCGGGGTCAGGGGACAAAGCAGCAGCAACACAAGCCAATGGCCCTCTTACGAACCACACGCCACACAGACACACACCACCCCATCACCCTCCCCTGGGCCTCCTACCCCTCTCCATCCCAGGCAGCAGCAAGCCTCACCCAGCAGCACCCGCCCCACTCCACACCGCCCCCTCCCCATCCCCTTCCTCCCTCACCCCGTCCCCCCTCGCCTCCTCTCCGCTCATCACCCCGTCGCCCACCAGCTTCCCCCACAGGGCCTTCCCCCGCTCAGCCACCTGCTCCTCCCTGCCCGTGCGCTCGCCCCTCTCCTCCTCCCCCATCGCCTCTCCCGGGTCTCTAGAGGCACTCTTCCAGTCGTCCAAGCACCACGGCGGGGTCGTGTTGGAGAATTCTGTAAAGTCCCCTGGAGTGGGATTTGATCACCATTCTAGCCCCTCGGCCTCCTCCCGCCTTGCGCTCCCGCTCCCTCCCTCTTCTTCGTCCTCCACCCCCTCCTCCACTCCCAACGCTGCATCAGCAGTATCAGCCCGGGCAGCATCACTAGCAGCAGCAGCAACAGCAGCCACATCATCCTCATCATCCGCTGCACCATCCCTCTCCCCGCTCCTCCTCGCTAGCTCCACTGCTTCTCCCTCCACAGCCCCAGCGCTGCTATCCCGCCCCGCACTCGCACGCTACCACACCATGCCGGCAGCGCAAATGGCGCATCTCCCCATGCCCGCCCTTGCCCCCATGCACTCCTTCTTCGACTCGTCTGGTAACCCTGTAACCCTGGAGGAGCTGTTTCAGCAAACCCGGCTGTCAGGGGTTGTCCCGGTGGTATCACCCCTGCCGTCCCCACTCGTCTCCCCAGCACTTAGCTCGCCTGCCACTGCTGCCCCATCCCCTATAGCTGCTTCCCCCGCTGCCGCTTCACCCGCTGCTGCTGCTGGTGCCAGCACCTCTGGTTTCATCTCCCCTGTGCTTTTCTCGCCCGTGCTGCTATCCCCAGCCATGTCCCCGGGTGTGTCGCCTCCAGTACCTCCTCCCACTCCTGCCAAGCCCTCTGTGACTCTTCTTGGCCTCGTCCCTTCCTCCTCTTCCGCCTCCTCCCCTTCCCTCTCCAAGCATCAGCCTTCCCCTCCTCCATCCGCTTCCTTGCCGTCCCTATTCTCCTCCTCCTCCTCCTCCTCCTCCTCCTCCTCCTCCTCCTCCTCCTCCTCCTCCTCCTCCTCCTCCTCCTCCTCCTCCTCCTCCTCCTCCTCCTCCTCCTCCCTCTCCTCCTCCTCCTCCTCCCCCTCCCCCTCCACCACCACCGCACCCCCTCCCACCAACCCCTCCCTCTCACCAACCCCACCATTCCACCACCTAATCCCAACCCCTCCTCCTCCCCGTTCCCCTTCCGCGCACGACCCGCGCTCCCCACGCCACATGGTGACACACAGCAGTCCACACTCACCCAGGCACGGCTGGCACTCGCCGCTCCCTCCAATCACCCACCCTCAAGACTCCTTCACTCTCCCCCACCACCTCTCTGGCACCAGCCCCATGCACTCTGTGCAGAGCCCCTCGCGCCCGCGCTCCCCCGTGCCGCCCTCTCCCCGTGTGCTGCGCCAAGTCGCCGCTTCTAACAGTTTCAACAGCAGCAGCCCCCGTGCTGCCTCTGCTGCTGCCGCTGCTGCTGCTGCTGCTGCGGCGGCGGCGGCGGCTGTGGCGGCTGCTGCTGCTACAGAGCCTGCTGTCGCTGCATCAAGTGGGTTTTCAGGTGGTGGAGGGTTGGAAGAGGCACCTCCTCTCTCCCAACTAGACGTGCTCGTTGCTCTCTCTGCCGGCGCTCTCCCTGTCATGCCCACTCACGCCTCTCCCACCGCTTCCATTTCTCCCGCCACCACTCCCGACCGCTTCTCACCCACATGGCCCGCAACAGCAGCGCACAGCCCTTCCACTCCTGGCGTCGCTGCAGCAGCAATCAACCACAGCGAGTCACCTGGGGCAGGCCCTCGCACCCCTGTGAGTATATTCAGCACAGCAGGACCAGGTGCAGCGACTGGCAGCACAGGCAGTCCCAGGCACGGCCGCCCCATGCGCACGCTGCTAGGCCTGGTGGAGGTGCGCGAGGAGGAGCCGCCTAAGTCCCCCCGCAGCGCCAACCCCTCCCCTCGCAGCCGCCACATACGGCGCCACAGCATGCCCAGCGCCAAGAGCAACCTCGGCGCTGCTGGTAGCTATGGTGCGGATGGGGCAGGGGGAGGGGGTGGGGGAGGAGGGACGGGTTCAGTGCCTGCTGCTGCTCCTGAGGCTTCTCCCCAGGGTGATGCTGTTGGTGCTGCTGCCAGTGCTGGTCCTGGTACTACTGATGCTACTGCTGCTCCTGCTGCTGCCCCTAGTGCTGCTTCCTCACTCGCCTTACCACTAGATCGGCAGCAGCAGCAGCAGCAGCAGCAGGCGCTGCAGCAGCGGCAGCGGCAGCAGCAGCAGGACCAAGGGTACGCTGCAGTGGGGCTGACCCATCTGGGTCCGTTGCATGGGGGCGGGGAGGAGGAGCAGCAGTTTCACCTGCAACTTCCCAACTTTAAGACCGCTCGCCCTCCATTCCTACGCGACTCTGCCTCCCCTGCTGCTCACAGCCCTGCTTCTCCTGCTGCTGCTGCTGCTGCTGCTGCTGCTGCTGCTCAGAATGAGCACGTGTTGCTGCCATCAGGGCTAGGGGCAGAGAGGGAAGGTGGGGGGAGTGTTGGCGGGGATATGGGGAGACGGAGAGTGGGGGATACAGGCGGGGGAGATGGGTCGAAGGGAGTGGTGCAGCTGGCAGAAGCAGGAGATGCAGCTGCTGTGGCGGCTGTAGCGTCTGCTGGGGCTGTGGCTACAGGTGTGTCAGCCGACAGTGGGAAAGCTGCTGCTGCTGCTGCTGCTGCTGTTGTCGCTTCTTTAGTAGTGATACCTGTGGTTTCAGGAGGAGAACGAGAAGCAGCAGCATCAGCAGCAGCAGGAGCGGAGGCCGGAGCAGCAGCAGGAGGAGGAGGAGCAGGAGGCGCAGGAGCAGGTGCTTTGAGCAGAGTACACGTTTCAAAGGAGAGTGCAAGTGGGGCAGGTGCGGGCGGACCAAGCGGGTCAAGCGGGGTGTCAGGGCCGGAGGAGGCGCGGCGGATACTGGCTCTGCTGCAGCGACTGCGAGAGCCGCTGGAGGCAGCACGGGGCAAGCTGCAGGCGGGCAGTGCGGAGGCTGTGGCTGTGGAGGAGGCTGCCCGCGCTGTTGAGGGGGACCTGCTCCGCTTGCTGGGGGAAGCGGGAGAAGGGGAGGGAGGAGGGCGGGAAGAGGGAGGGCAGGGGCGAGCGGAGCAGGAGAGAGGAGAGCAGGGGGAAGGGGATGTGAGGGTTCGTGGTGGGGATGGGGAGGGGGTTGTGGTGGAGGGAGAGGGGGAGGAGGTGGAGATGAGAGTGGGTGGATTGGGGGATGGAAGGAGGGATGAGGGAAAGGTGGAGAGAGGGGAGGGGAGAGCAGGGGAGGGGGTTGCAGCAGGGGGGATTTGTGAACAGGATATCGCCCCAAGAGCCTCTTCCAAGGATGGTGCCGCGGATGCTGCTCCTGCTGCTGCGTCTGCTCCCGTGCTACCATCAGCAGCAGCAAAAGCAGGAGCAGAAGAAGCAGAAGAAGCAGCAGCAGGAGCAGTAGAAGCAGAGAGGCAGGTCTTGAGAAATTCTGACAGTGGTGAGGTGGATGAGGCGTTGGAGGGAGCTATGAGAGACAGCGGGGCACAGGAGGGGGTGGTTTCAGAGAGGGGAGGAGAGCAAGGGGTGGGGAAGGAGGGCGTGTGGTTGAAATTGGCGGGAGAGGAAGAGGAGGAAGGCTGCGGGAGTGGTGGGGCGAGGAGTGGTAAGGCGAGGAGTGGTGAGAAGGAACGTGAGGGGCAGGGGCCGTGGGATGGAGGGGAGAGAGCAGCGGCGAGTGGGGGAGGTGGGGGAGGGGCGGCGGGAGTAGGATCAGAAGCAGGGCGGAGAGAGCAGCAGTCAGCAGCTGTAAAGTTGCCATGGCTTGCAGTGGATCCGGTAGGGCCTCGTCCTGTGTTGGCAGGTGGTAAGATGAGAGAGGTGGAGCTGTCTTTTAAGGAGAGCTTGAGCCGGGAAGATAAAGGGATGCATGATGGTGGTGGTGAGGCGCAGGGTCGTGATTATGGTGATGGTGACAATCACCCGCGTTCTTATCACCAGCGCCAGCAGCCGCAAGAGCAGCAGCAGCAGCAGCAGCAGCCGCAGCAGCAGAAGGAGCAGAATGAGCAGAAGGAAGTGCAGCAGCAGGCGCATAAGAAGATGCATAGGCATCAGTCGAGTGAGGGCGTTTCCGCACTGGAGCTGCAAGCAGCGCTGCAGCAGGTGGTGAACCTGGGAGCAGCCATGGACGGTGCAACACGCGGGGGAGGAGGACGAGGAGGACGAGGAGGAGGAGGAGGAGAAAGAGGAGGAGGCGGAGCGAAAGGCAAGGAGGAGAGCACTGGGAGGAGGGGCAGGGATGGGGAGGCTGGTAAAGGGACTGGAACGATTAAGCTGGAGCATATTGATGGGAGCGAGCATGCATCAGACAGCGCTAGCAGCAGCGGTACCCACAAGGGTTCTCAACACAGGGGCGGTGCATCTGGTGATGCCGCTGCTGGTCTTGACGCTGCCTTTGCTGCTGCGGGTAACGCTGCTGGATCAGCTGGTGCTGGCGGCAGTGCGAGGAGTGGTGGCCTGCACAGTGACGTGTGGCCGCTGGCAAACGCCAAGCACACTCGCTTCAAGGGGGGCAGTGTGGGCAGCAGTGGGGTGGGCAGCCGAACAGGCAGTGCCATGGGCAGCGCGGTAGGAAGCGGGGCAGGCAGTGGTGCAGGCAGTGGCATGGGGAGTGCAGCAGACTCTGGGGCTGACTCTGGTGTGGACACAGCAAGGCAGCAGCACCGCCTGAGGCTGCACAAGAGGGAGAAGGAGCGTGCGGGTAGCATTGTGGGCGGCAGCAGCAGCAGCACTGGTGGTGGAGCGGTGGCAAGGGGTGGAGTGGTGTCGATGACGGTGGAGGGCGGTAAGGTGGTGGTGTCTGGCACTCTCAAGTACACACGAGAGGTGCGCTTTTCTGGAATATGGTCGCAGAATGGCCTTGATATCACCTCTGCTGCTGCTCTTGCTCATTCTTCTGATGCCACTGCTGATACTGCTGCGAATGATGATCATGATGCTATTGTGGTGCATCGTAAGGGCATTGCTGCTGCTGGCACTAATGCTGCTACTGCTGCCTCTCATGCTTCCGGTAAGGGGCTCCAGGTGCGGCAACCCAGGAGTGCTGGCAGGGCGGAGAAGGGCAAGGGCAGAAAGTACCGGCTGTCACGGCTGGGGAATGTGGTGGAGGGTGGTGGTGGGAGTGAGCAGACGAGTGGGGTGAATAGTGGGATGGGGAGTGAGGGAGTGAGTGAGGTTGGGAGTGAGGGAGTGAGTGAGGGAGGGAGTGAGGTGGTTATGATGCAGAGAGGGAGGCGAGGGAAGGGCCGGAGCAGGAGCAGGGAGAGTGGAGGCACAAATGGGTCACTAGGTGGCAGTGGGAATGTTAGTGGGAGTGGGAGTGCGAGTGGGAGTGGGTGGAGCAGCAGAGGAGTAGAGGCAGGAGAGAGGAGAAGGAAGGGAAAGAGCAGGATGGGGTTAGCGGCAGAGAGCGGTTCAGTGGGGTCAACAGGGAGTGCAGCAGGAGGGGGTGAAGGAGAGGGAGCAACTGGGGAAGGGAGTGGGAGAGGAAGGGGAAGAGGGAGGGTGAGAGGGAAGGGGAGAGGAAGCGGTGGAGAGGCATTAGGTGCAGCAGCAGCAGCAGCAGCAGCAGTAGAAGCAGAAGCAGAGGCAGTGGGAAGGGCAGGCAGGGTGTCTACTGGGATCGATAGCGTGGGGGCAGTGCAGCAGGCACGGAGTGAAGAGGGCGTGCGGAGCGAGGGCAAGGGGCAGGGGGATGGGGAGGGGCAGGAGGAGGAGGGGTGGCATGGGGGTGGTGGAGCGTGCAGCAATGACAGCAGCAGCAGTGAGGATGTGTTCTACGAGGCGAGAGAGGCTGTGAGCTCGCCAGGGTCTGTGGGTGGATCAGCATCGCTGTCACTGTCAGCATCGGACGATGAGGGCATGTGGAGCTGCACCTCCTCTGCTCGCATGCTCAACGCCCCCACTTCTCTGCACTTCCCTCCCTCCGCTACCTCTGCTTCTCCTCCTGCAACTGTTGCCGCTGCCGTGGGTGCTGCCAGTGTTGCCAGTGCTGCCGCTGCTGACAGCGCTGCCACCGCCGCTACCACTGCCATAGGCACTCCCGCTGTGCAGCCTATTGCTGCTGCTGCTGCACGTGTGTCCTCGCCCTCCTCGGTGCCCACACATGCGCCTCCACCCTGTACTGACGCAGCCATCACCTCACATACCAGTACAGCCACACCTACCAGCGCACCTGCCAATGCGGTTACCACGCTGCATCCGCTTCTTGCCCCGGTTCCGGGCGGCAAGGAAGGCACAGCATGCCCACCACCGGAGTCTGCTGCTCCTGCTGCCAGCGTTGCCGCTGCTGCTCCCGTCAACACTGCTGCTTCTGCTCCTGTCAACACTGCTGCTTCTGCTGCTGCAGCCGTTGCTGCTTCTGCTTCCACTCCTTCCCCATCAGCTGCATCTGTTGCCGATCCCCCCCCTGCTGCCTCTGCTTCGGTTCCTGCTCCCGCTGTGCCTTCACCTGCCTCTGCCTCCTCTGCTGTCTCTGCTGCTGATACCACTGCTGACACACCTTCCGTTGCTACTGCCCCTGCCTCCGCTGCCTCTTCTTCTCCTCCCACCACCACCACAACCCCATCCCCTCCACCTCCAGAAACACTCTACACCCGCTCCCCATCCCCTCCCCTCCCCTCCTCCAACCCCTTCTCCCTATCCCCCTCCAACCGGCCTCCCTCCTCCTCCTCGCCCTTCACGCACCCGCCCTTCCGCCCGCTCCCACCCGACGCGCAGCTGCTGCTGCAGCGCTCCATGATTCCCCACCCGCGCCGCAGCCCCCTGGGAATCCGCCGCACCGTCTCAGATCTCACAGCTGAAGTCAGTGCTCTCAGGGCCGCCTCTGCCTCTGCTGCTGCCTCTGCCGCTGCTGCTGCTGCAGCGGCCGCGGCTGCTGCGGCTGTTGCTGCTGGTGCGGCTGGTTCAGGTGCCGGTGGTGGTGGCGCTGCCGCTGGTGGTGCTGCCTTTGGTGGGGGTGCGGGTTCGGGGTTTGGTGGTTTTGGTGCGGGCAGTGGCAGCAGCAGCGGCGGCGGAGCAGCAGTGAATGCGCGGCGCCGTGCCGCAGCGATCTCAGCGCTGAGAGCAGCTGCTCTGGAAGGGCAGCTGCAGCAGTCGAACCACTCCAAGCGAGCAATGGCAGGGCTGGGAGGAATGGGAGGGGATGGTGGAGGGAGCTGGGGAGGAGGGGCTGCAGGAGTTGGGTTCGGGGGAGTGGGTGGGAGAGGGGTGGGGATGCGAGGAGCAGTGGGGGAAGGCCTGGGGGAGGATATGCTATCAGGCCCGCCTGCGGCCGTGTTTGGGCGGAGCAGCAGTGGGTTAGGCAGCACAGGAGGAGGAGCAGGCACAGGGCTGTCTCCCGTACACTTGAACATGGGTATGGGTATGGGCATGGGCATGGGCATGGGAGTGAATAGAGCAGCTAGTCCGGGTGCTGTCTCGATACCCTCCCCAGGCCTATCGGGTCCTTCCTGGCAGCTTCTCTCTTTCCCTGAAGACCTGGCTACAGGTTCCCGCCCCTCCTCCTCCTCACACACTCTCACCCCGCAGTCCGCCTCTCGCACCCCCTCTGCCCTGGCCCCTGGCGTGGCGGATTTCCTTTGGGGATCCGGCAGTTTCCGGGGTGTGTTAGAGGGCCCGGGACTTTTCCACTGGGGTTCCGGCAGTAGTACGAGCAGAGGCGGGTGGACGGCAGGGGGAGAGGGGGGAACGGGGGGAGGAGGAGGCGGGGAGGGGATTGGCGGAGGGGACCGGGGCGGGGGAAGCAGCGGGGGGAGAGCGGGGCTGGGGAGTGGAGGCGGGGGGAGTAGAGGCGGCACGGGGGGGAGCGGGGGGGGGAGCATAGGGCGGCTGGGGAGTGGGGGGGGGCGCAGCAGCGGGAGCGGCAGCGGGGGATCGACAGGGTCAGGGTACCGATTCGCAGTGCCGATACAGCGAGCTGTGGCAGAGACAGATGACTACGAGGAGGGGCAGGTGTGCCCTCTGTCGCGCTCCAATAGTGCAAATCTGGATGTGCTGTTGCATGGCATGCACTCGGGACACTCTGTGCCGTCCCCGTGGGATAGTGGGGACATGGATGGCGTTGTGGATGGGCCAGGAGAGGGTGCTGCTCGTGGGGATGGTGGGGATGGTGGGGATGGTGGGGATGGTGGGGATGGTGGGGATGGTGGGGATGGTGGGGATGGTGCGGCTGGTGGGGTGAGTGGGGTGGGTTCAGGAGCAGCGGCAGACGTGCGTGTAGGGGTGGAAGGGGTGGGTGAAAGTGAGGGAGTTGGGGAGGAGAGGAGGGAGGGGGAGACCGAGGGGCTGAGGAGGGGAGGTGGGGCGGAGGAGGGGAGTGGAGTGGGAGTGGCAGGGAGGGTGGGTGGCGAGGGTGGGAGTGGCACAGAGGGTGAAGGGAAGGAGGGAGAGCAGGGAGGTGCAGGGAGACAGGACGTGCAGGTCGGTGGGCGTGGTGGTGGTGCTGGTGCTGGTGGCGGAGGAGAAAACGAGGTGCAGGAGGGTGCAGATACGGAGAGTGAGTCAGTGACTTCCATTCCACCCAATGCTGCTGCTGTCGCTTCTGCTGCTCCTCCTGCCCCTCCGGGTGCTCTAAGTGCAGTTGCAGCTGCTGCTAGCAAAGCTGACAGTAACCTGGGTAAGCTGGTAGGTGAGGGAGGAGGAGGAGGAGGACGAGGAGTAGGAGGAGGGGGTGATATACCAGAAGAGGAATGTGCAGCAGCAAGCACAGGTGCAGGACCCGACGGCGAGAGCCCAAACCATCCATCTGCCGAGCCTGGGGAAGGAGCAAGGGCAGGCGCAGGAGTCAGCATACCGTCAATTTCATCACTCACACCCACCCAGCCCTCCCCTCATCCATCCCGCCAGCCGCTCACCCAACCAATGGCGCAGCCTCAATCCCAGCCCATCTCGCAGCCTGTGCCTCCACCTGTGGCGCGGCCTCAAAGCCCGCCATCGCACCAGCGCCCGCTGTCTCCTCTCAGGCACCACCAGCACCGCCTGCAGCCGTCGCTGCTGGGTCGCCGCCCTGCCTCCCCCCACACCGCGCCTGCTGCTGTGGGCCTCGCCTCCCCTGCTGCCCCGCAGCATCAGCTGTCCACCGCTCTGGCTTCCTCTTCGTCTCCTTCTCATTCCCCTGCATTCTCTGCTGCTCCTTTGGACGATTTTCCTGCGGTGGTGGTGCCTCAACGGGGGGGTTTGGATCGTGGTGGGTTTGCTGCCTCTGCCTCTGCTTCCTCGCCCTCCTCGCCGCACCTCACCTCTCCTGCGTCGCCTGCTTCTCCTGCCTCCCCGGCCTCTCCTGCTCCTGCTGACAGCAGCACCATCTGTGCGCCTTCACCTGCTTTTGCTCCAAGAGCAGTGAACCCAACAGCTTCACCCATTCACTCTTGGATCGCTGCTACCACGTCCGCTGCTGCTAATGCCAACCACACCGCCACCCGCCCCACCACCGCCACCGCCACCACCACCACCAGCACTGCCACGAGCACTGGTTCCCCCTTGACGCCTTCTCTCGCTGCATCAGTCGCCCCTGCTGATGCCCCAGACACAGAATACCCCACGCCAGATGTCCCTGCAGGCGCAGCAGCAGGCATGAGCGAACGCACGCCCTCCTCACCACCCACTGCATCGCTCTCAACAGCATCCGCGGCAGCGCCAACAGCAGCAGCAGCAGCAGCAGCGGCGGCAGCGGCAGCGGCAGCAGACATGGGGCTGAGTCTTGGGGGAGACATTGTCAAGGATACGCGCGTCGCTGCACGCATTCTGGAGCAGCAGCAGCAGCAGCAGCAAGGGGGGGCGGTACCGGTCCGCGCGTGGTCTAACAGCAGCAGGGTCAGCAACAGCAGTGATGCTCATGGGGCTTCTCCTGCTGTCATTGCTGTGACTGCTGCAACTGTTGCTGGCGCTGCTGTTGCCTCTGGGGCTAGCGATGGGGCTCTTGGGTTGGCGAGCAACCCTCCTCTGCTGGTGCTTCGTGCTGCCAGTGCTTCTGGGTCGGAGCCTGCGCCCCTGCAACCGCCCTCGGTGCTTGTGAGTCGAGAGCGAGGGCTCGCTTCTGTGATTCCCGGGCCATCACCACCGGCCAATGCAGCACCAGCACCTGCATCTGCTGCATCATCAGCATCTGTAGCAGCAACAGCAGGAACAGCAAGAACAGCAGGAACAGCTGCATCTGCTGCTGCTGCTGCTGCTGCGACAGCTGCTGCTATTGCCAGCAGCAGTGTGGTGAGTCCGAGTGTGAGTGTGAGTGTGAGTGCAGCAGAAGAATCGGTGGTGGAGGGCATGAGAGAGCCGCGGATGATGCCGCTGGTGCAGGCAGGGCGAGCTGTACCAGAAGAAAGTTTCACTGCCCTAAGTCACAACAGCAGCATCGCCTCTACCACCCCTCCTCCTGCTCCTGCACCTGCTGTGATTGCTGCTACTGCCCCTGCTGCGGCTCCTGCCACTTCTGCTACCAGCAGTGGCAGTGGCAGTGGTGGTGCTGTGGTATCTGGAAGCCGGGTGAAAGGGGACAGTGGTGGAGCAGGGGGGAGCAGCATGAGTGGCAACAGCAGCCCAGGCTTTTCAGCAGCCACAAGCCCGGCTTTGCCTGCTGCTGTAGCTGCTGCTGCTGTTGCTGGTCCTGGTTCAATGGGCAGTCCTGCAAGCGATTTGGGTCAGCATCATTACTACCACCACCACTACCACCACCACCACCACCACCACTTGCGAGTCTTCCCCTCCTTCCGGAAACGGAAGCAGAGGTACGTAGAAGCCGAGAGCGTGGGTGCTGCTGCAGCTTATAACGCAGCAGCCAGTATGGGGTACGCACCGCCTGTGGGCAGCAACGTGGGCGTGGGTGGCAGTGCAAGCACAGGTGCAGGTGCAAGGACAGGGAATGCTCACACAGGCATGATGAGGACACCCTCTGCTTCCTCTGCCACTCCCAGCAGCGACAGTACCGGGAGCAGTGTGAGGGGCCCTGGGGGCGTGGCAGGCATAGTGGCGCGCACAAGAATCGGCGGCAGTGGCAGGAGAAGCAATGCTGCTGCTGCTGCTGTTGGTGCCGGCAGTGCGGGAGGGACTGGAGGGGGTGTATCACCGTTCGGGTCCTCCCCAGCAACGGAAGGTGCCAGCGATGCAGACACTCTGGCAGACCAAGAGGATGCGGTGAGTTGCTTCTGTGCACGCTTGTGTAGGACTTAGTGCTGCTCGCACTTTCATCTGCACTGCCGTACATACTTTCAAACCCTAAACCCATATGCTCCCTTCCATGCTGACATGCTGTCCTCTATGCCCGGGTCTAGCAATACCGATTCACGCCTTGCCAACCTGCCTCTCATCCTAGTGCCCCTTTTTTGCTCGTGTTCCACCCCTTTTTTTTTCAGGATGTTCTGCTCACAGCACGGAGAAGTGTAGGGCTTACGTGCTGCGTCCGGCCACATGTTTTTGATTGATCTCACGAAATGGTGTGAATGGATGTTGAGTGAAGATGTCTAATCAGGTCAGTCGACTTCAGTTGACAACACCTTCATTTATTTGTGCCTTACTTCCTAATTTGTTGCGAACTGACTGGCGCTGCTGCATTTGAGTAGGATCCTATGGCAAAAATCAATGCTGTAATATAATTAATAGTCAATTCTGATTGATGCGTAGTTGCTGTTGTATCCACTCGGTATGGACAAGCTAACACTACGGTGAAACGAGGCACAAACCGGTCGGCCTGACAAACTGGTTAGGCTCGGAAAGAGCTGACACATCCCGACCTTGGTCAAGCTGAAGCTGGGCTGGGCACCAAACCGAACATGCACACACCCGTCCCACCAACTCTACCAGCCAGTTCAGCAACACCCCGCCAGGTGGCACCGATTGTGTTCAACCAGGCATCCCCAGTAAAGAGCTGGCCATGATTTTTATCCATGCCCGAACAAAACGCCGATACTTAAAACTCTCTCTCGATACTGGATGTAGATTCCTTTCCACCGCCGAAAATATTATCCATCGTGCTACCCTGTTTCTACAGCGTGCGCACTGAAACGAACTTGAGATTCCAAGGATCCGCCCTCCTCCCCCATGCTACCTGCGCCAGACTTCTGTGCTGCGCTTCTCCAAGTCTGCGGACGGGCTGACAATGTCGGCCACAGAGAGAGCCGAGCAGAGAGGGAAAGCTTGTGCGTCGAATCCCTCCCTTTTCCCTCGAGTCTGTCTGAGATAGATCCTACAATTTCCCTGGTGATCGTTGTTGGGTAGTCGCGGGTTCGCACGGACGCCATTTCTGGTGGTCTTGGCATCTCCAGTGGATGTTCTTCAGTTGGGCTGATCCATTCCTAAAAACACAGGCGCGCCATCGCTGCTTGTCTCTCTGCAATGCTTAGATGGTCCCGCGCTTCGTGATTCCCTTGGTGCTCGTGACTAAACATCTGGCCTTTTCGGTGCCAAACGGTGGCACACGCTGGTTGCTGCAGGCGGCGGGATTCGCGGAGGTGCGAACTTAATCAATCCGTCGAAAGCCGCTATCAAATTCGTTGAGTCGACCGCGGCCCGAATCTCGCTCCTACTCGCCTTCAACGATGCTTCCTTGACCAGCTCTTCCCCTTCCGTGCGAAATCCCCGTTTTCCCTTGTTAGGGTTTGAACCGGCAAGAGGAGCAAATTGATAGTTTTCCGCTACAGTAACTCTTTATGGTTCCGCCGTAGGCCGGCAAACGGATTCTGAACCGCCGTGCGCAACGAATGTAACTGCATATCAACTGTTGCCGGCCACCACGATTTGATTTCCCCGGTTGCCTTAACTTCATCTCCGTGCCTCTCACACCGTAATCACTGGCATCCATTCCGGAATCCCGGGTGGCCGCGTCAGCGGTGACGTCACTCGGGGTGTCGTCCCCGCCACCCGCTCCGCTCGCGTCGTCGTCGCTCGACCGGCACAGGCGGCGGCAGCGGGCCGTGCTGGACTGGGGGAGCAGCGTCGCGGGAGCGGCGGCGAGCAGCAACATGTCGCGGCCAATGGCGCTGGGGCTCGTGCTGCTCGTGCTCTTCCTCACGTCGCAGTCCGAATGGCGGTCGTCGCGCTCCCACATGGACGCCGCCGCGTCCGCCGCGTCGAAGCAGATGCGCGTGGAGAAGCACCGGGATGGCGTGAAGGAGAAGGTGTGCGCGCATCGCTTATTCCCCCCTGCACGTTCCACGCTTTATTCCCTATCCCACGTCCCTCTTTGCCTCCTCTCCCACTCCCAACCCAAATTTCCGTTGTTATCGTTTGTTGTTCTTTTTCACTTTATCTATCAATCTGATTTTCCCACGAGTCGCGCTTTCCCTTCTTATGGGAGGTCGCCATTGCGTCGCTTAGATTGTCCCTGCACCTAGGTTTCCCGTCGTCTGTCACGCCAAATGCTTATTATAATCACTATTGATTATGGCTTGTTTTCCTAAACCGCGATCGTGTAGCATGCCATGCCTCGTCATGAGGCTCGGTCAAAGAGAATTTTCCCTTCACGCGTCTACCCACCGTCAGATCATCATGGATCTAATGGCGGAGAACAAGCGTCTGGAGGCGGAGAGGGAGCGGCTTCGGCGCGTGGTGGAGGAGATGCAACGGCGCCTGGTGGCGTGCTGCCATGCCAACCCGCACCTCGACACCTTCGACCCCACCACTCTCAGGCCCTCCTCTCGCCTCTCCCCGCAGACTCTAGATGACCGCTTCCTCTCCTCCTCTTCTTCCTCCTCCTTCCCCTCCTCTTCCTCCTCCTTCTCCTCCTCCTCTGCCTCTTCGTCTTCCTCGTCCTCTTCCTCTTCTTCCTCTGCTTCCTCCTTCTCCTCCGCCTCGTCCTCCTCCGCCGCCCTTCCCTCACTCACCAGCAGATCCCCCCACGCGTCGATGTTCGGGCAGACAGATGTCGATTCCCCAGGCATGCAGCGGCAGGCAGGCGCGCAGAGCGACGGTGGGCGGGAGTATCAGCGACAGCAGCTGCTCACTCGCAGGCACGTCGAGGAGGCGTTAGCGGGAGGCGGTGGCTTCGACGCTGATCCGCAGGAGCAGGAGCAACAGCAGGAGGAGGAGGAGGAGCAGCAGCAGCAGCAACAGCAGCAGCAGTTGACGCAGCAGCTGCAGTCGCAGGTTCAGCAGCAGCAGTTACAGCAAGTGCAGCAAGTGCAGTCTCAGCTGAGTCAGCAGCAGCAGGCGGGTGGAGGCATGATACAGGGAGGAGCAGCTGTGATCGGGCATATGACTCGCTTCCGAGGTTTCCGAGAGCACCAGCAGCGACAGCAGCTGCTACGGGAGCAGCAGCTGCAGCCGCAGGCGCAGCAGCAACAGCAGCCGCAGCAGCACCTGTTGTTTCCACTGATTGTACAGGAGGAGGAGGCTGGGAAGCAGGTTCAACGGCATACCTTTGATCAACGTCAGCAGCAGCACTTGGCTGTGCCACAGGGGCAAGGAGAGTTCCAATCTCAGGAGCTTGAGGAGCAGCAGAGCTCATATGCGGGTAGCAGAAGTTTGAGCAGCAGCACTGGTAGCAGCACGGCTAGCAGCATTGCAAGCAGTGGGGAGGGCAATGCACGAAGCAGTGTGCATGTGATGCAGGAGAATGGTGTGGGTACTGATATGCTTGCAGGTATGGGTGCAGTGCGGTTTGAAGAGGAATCCAGTGGTAGTCAAGGGGGCTCAGGTGCTTGAGCTGTGCCCTGCGCTTGCTCATTGACTTGCGATGATTGCTTGTGTGCCTTTTCCCTTTCCTTGCATGATTTTTGTGTATATGCTGTGTGTTTTAGAGGGGAGATGAACGGGGGAAGAGGAGGGGGGTGTTCGTTGGAACGAGTGGCAGAGGAAGGGGACAGGGCAAAGACATGGCTGTGAACCTCAGAATGATAGCATTGCAGGTGCACATGCGCATGTGGGAGTCTTGAGTAAAATATACTTTAGGTGACCTACTTATGCAGCGGCCCTGGCCTGGAATTAGGCTGTGTTTCCATAATGCACAAGTTACATATAATTCAAGGAAAGCTGTGTATTACAGTGTTGGCATTTTCATTTCAAATTACACTGGGCTGGGCTCAATTTAGATAGTTGCTCAGTTGATTTGGAATGTCCTGATCATAATTTCGTGTTACAGTAATACGAGTTATCCGCACTGCGTACGCGGGAAAGATGGGGCGGGAAATGGTGGAGGGAACCTTGCCTTTCAGATCTGTTTCTGCTGCTGCCAATCAACTCACCCGTCTTCAATGCTCCTCGAGGTCCTTTAGAAGCCTTTGTGTGCGTTGGAAATAATATAGATTGACACAAGCGGCGGTGACTTGGAGATACTGAACCGTGATACGCTGCCGTCAGCACTGCACCTGCGATATGCCTTGCCTCAGCCCGTCGGCGTCTCGGCAACAGCAGCAGCAGCAGCAGCAGCAGCAGCAGTTGGAGCCATTGCCGCAGGTCCATTCGCAAGCGGAGTTGGAATGTACGGATGTGTTTTCGCGCATACCCGACGATCTGCTCGGCCACATCCTGTTTCTCGTCGCATCCAACGGCTCCGATCCCAGATCTGATGCCGCAACACCGGATCATGCTCGCGTCGATTACACCTGGGATTCAACCGCCTCTCTTTTTGTGACTGCTGCGTCGTCAGGAATGACGTCGTCAACGTCAACGTCAACGTCGTCGTCGTCGTCATCGTCTGCACCCCCTCAACCGCTGTTTTTTTTCGATCACGCGCTCGTCTCCCAGCGATGGCTCCGCGTGGCGCGCTCCGTGCATCCCGCCATCGTCGTTCAAAGTCGTCGCCACATCTCGTCGCGACTGCTCGCGTCAGCCCTCCTCTCAGCGCCGCCGTCCCAACATTCCTTTCCTTCACCCAATCCGCACCACCCCTCGTCGCCTTCGCACCCTCCTCCTTTCCCTCCCTCTAATCCTCCCTCCCCCTCCCCCTCTCCCTCTCCCGCGCGCTTCCCCAACCTGCGTCATCTCCATGTGGGGCGCGACGCACTCGACGCGATCGACGCCACGCTTCTCAACGCCATCGCTTTTGGCTGCGGCTCCACGCTGACGCACCTCAGCATCGTGGAGGACACGTGCAAGCAGCACCAGCAGCAGTCGTCTGCTACCGTTCAGCCGCGCAGCAGCAGAAGTGGCAGCGGCGGTGGCAGCAGCGGGAACGACGGAGACGACGGCAGCGGTGGTAGCCGCGACAGCAGCAGCAGCGGCGGCAGCATTTCCATCATCTTCGACCATTGCACTCGATTGGTGGACCTTACGATTTCTCTGCCCGTTTATCTGCTCCAGATGCCCGTTCCCACTCTGCCCGCATCCATCAGCAGCTTACAGCAGCTGACGCGGCTCTGCGTGACTCTGCCGCACGAAGTCACCGAGTTACCACCCGAGTTGGGCAGCCTGTGCTCGCTCAGGAGCCTGACGATCGTCGCGCCGTCACTTACGACGCTTCCCGGCACGTTCGGCGGGCTCACATCTCTAGAAGAGCTCGAGCTTGAGGGGTTACGAGTGGATGGTCTACCCAGCGGCGTATGGCATTTGAAAGCTCTGAGGAAGTTGATCTTTAGAATGATGGAAGAGTTGGTTGAGTTACCTGCCTCTCTCTCTCACCTTTCACTCCTCACTCACCTACAGATTCACTGCTGCGGCGAGTTCAGCCGCCTGCCGGACAGTTTTGGGCAGCTGCAGCAATTGAGGGCACTCCAGCTGTTTTCGGTGGACCGGCTGCGTGTGCTTCCAGAATCTTTGGGCGAGCTGCCCGAACTGACCGACTTGGAGATTCGCAACTGCCGGTTTCTAACCATGCTGCCCAGGTCACTGCCTTCCATCGCCACCCTCCAGCGGCTCACCATCCACGACTGTGGAGATTTTTCCTCGCTGCCCGAAAACATCGGGCAGCTTCCAAATCTGGAGGAACTGGATATTGAGTCTATTGATATAACTGCCATTCCTAACAGCCTGGGGCGCCTCACCTCTCTCCAGAAGCTGTGGGTGTGGGACTGTTCAAGGCTCCAGAGCCTCCCACAGTCTGTATCATCCATGATCTCACTCTCGACCGTCCGTTTCGATGGGTGCGTTTTGGAGCAACTCCCAGAAGATTTCGGGCTGCTTCGGAATCTTCGTCATCTGGATCTGTCCCGCCTTCGGAACCTTCATTCGGTGCCCAGATCTTTCGGGCAGCTGAAATCATTGAAAGACTGCAAAGTGATAGGCTGCGCTGCACTCACTCTCCCTTCAGGTTCCACATTCAATCTCTCTTCGCTGGAGTCGCTGCTCGTGCGAGGCCATACACCAATCGGATCGTTCCCTTCCAGCTTCGGGCATCTGCCAAACCTCCATGCGCTTGAGCTCAGCGCCGGCTGCGAATTCGACGCGCTGCCCGGCGCTGTCGCCAGCCTGCCCAAGCTGGAGGTGCTGAAACTGAACCGAGGCGGCTGCTTTGGAAGAGGGCCACAGCACGTGCCGGCAGACTTTTCTCAGCTGGCGCCCGCCCTTCGCATTCTGGAGCTGGACGGACTCAGGCAGCTTGAGTTTCTCCCTGCTTCCCTCACCCTTCTCACGCGCCTGCAGCGTCTGAGCATTGCGGATTGTGAGCAGCTGCGGGGGTTGCCAGAGGGCTTGGGGAACCTGGCTAGTCTCACGGAGCTGGAGTTGAGCTCCTGCCCCCGGCTCCACCTCTTCCCATCGCTTCTCCCTGCTCCGTCGCCTCTTGCACCGGTTCCCACCGCCTCAGCTTCCCTCACTGCTGTCCCCACCGCCTCAGCTGCCCCTGCTCCTGCTGCTTCCTCCACAGCACCCATCGCCACCACAGTAGATACCTCCTCCCTTACTTTCGTACGCGCTTCTGACATTCTCCCTTCACCCGACTGCTCTTCCCACTCACACACCCCTACCCCCCTCCCATCCCTCCTCCGCCTGTCCATTCTTGACTGCCCGTTGCTCACCTCCCTCCCCAGCGACCTCCATCAGCTGCCACGTGTCAAGTCCTTCCACCTTGAAAACTGCCTGAATCTGAAACCCATATTCCGGCCTACATTGTCCTCCGCCCGATCTGATTCTTCCACTGCGTCACCTGCTGCAGACCCCAGCCCAGCAGCACCGCCACTATCCCTCCCCGCGTCCCTCACCAGTCTCACCATTTCACGAGCCTTCCACCCAGCCACGTGCCTTCCACCCTCCGTCCTCACCCTCTCACGCCTTCACACCCTCGCAGTGACTCACGTGCCCTCACTCAAGCAGCTAACCGCCCCCATGGAAGACTGTTTCAGCTGTCTCTTGAGCCTCCACACCTTGGTTCTTGACACATGCGATGCCTTGTCATCCTTGCCTGCTTCCCTGCCCTCCCTCCGTAATCTCTCCAGGCTCATCATACAATCCTGCCCGTGCCTCCTTCACCTGCCTGAGAATCTCGGGCAGTTGAAATCTTTGGAAGAGCTGGCCGTGGTGCACTGTGAGGGAATGACAGAAATCCCCTCTTCCCTCACTCTGCTCACATCTCTGAAACAACTGAGCATTGTAAACTGCCCTAAAATATCCTCCCTCTCAGATCACCTTTCCTCCCTCTCCCACCTCTCCTCCCTCCGCCTCAGCCGCCTGCCTTCTCTCCTGCACCTCCCCTCCTCCCTCGCTCTCCTCCACTCCCTCCGCTACCTCGACCTGGAAGGCTGCTCCAATCTGAAGGCCCTACCGGAGGACTTGGGCAGAGGGAGTGCTCTCCGGAGAGTGGATTTAACTCAGTGTTCGAGCTTACAGAGCCTGCCGGTGCCCCTGTGCTCTGGCAAGGTGGTTGTCAGTGGGCCGTGGGGGGCACAGTGCAGACAGCCTGCTCAAGATTTAGTATCGATACCATATTAGAATTTAGAGTCATCTTAAAGGGACATCTGTAGATACGGGGTTGTGCTAAGGGGAAGGGTCTTAGGGAGTGTTCACTACGCTTGTACCAGTTTGTTCCGTATTTTGACTGCGTGAGGTAGTCAATACTTGTTGAAGATCAGGGGAGCTTGTGGTTGGGAACATGCAGAAAGGATTCAAGGTCAAAATTGGGGATATCAACTGTACTGTCTCAAGTGTACATCGCTCATGACAACACCAAATGCAAACAAAGCCCCAACACCAGTACCTATCGACCCCCATCAGAAAGCGGTACAGTAAAACATTATCAAGCAGCAGCCTCGCGACACGGGTAGGTAGGGGCCACTAAAGTGTACACTCCCAAATATATCGCTGGAAACGCAGCACCAGCTTCAGAAGCGAATCCCCCCCTCACGCAACTGAGATGTCAACGGCAGAGGGAGCAGCCTCTGGCGGAGTAACCTTGGCCATGGTGACGGTGAGCACGCCGTTCTTCATCTCCGCCTTGATCTGATTCGTGAGCACGTTGTCAGGAAGGGCCAGAGTTACCTGCAAAGCCAACAACAATACAGACGTTGAGATCAGAGGCAAGTGACGGTTCTAGTCGTAATGCGGACTATATCAATGCTTGTCCTGCAGATTGGTCAGGACAGATCGCTGCGGCAGCAACGCCACGAGGCGCCCCACCTGGTAGGACTTGGCGACGCGCGCATCCCGAAGCCCCTCCCCCTCCTCCCCGCCCTTCTCCTCCGCCTTGTGCTCTCCGCGAATCACCAGATCGCCATTCTCCAGCTTCACCGACACCTCCTCCTTGGACAGACCTGCACCCGCGGACGAGACCGAGTCGTGGTCGCAGATCAGCCATAGCCACCACGTAAAACCGCCAGCAGGCCAATGACCAGAAAAAACACAATGAACTTGCTTGCAAATCAGCATGAGGAAGAATTGACTAGCGGCGCACCTGGCATGTCGAGGCGGATGTGGAAGGCGTCGTCCGTCTCGCGCACGTCCCACGGCGTCCTCACCGCCACACCCGGGCGCGCGGCGGCTCTAGCGGCGAGCGGCGAGGTGGCGCGGAAGAGCGAGGGGAAGCGCGGCATGGGCGGCAGGAACGCGTCGTCGAACATGCGATCCATGGAGTCGAGAAGCTGCGTCAGCGAGCGGTTCGCCGGGAAGAACGGGTCGAATAGGTCTGCCAGGCATGAACGGGGACGATGAGAATGACGAGGTCACACGACAAGGCCTGCCGCAATCGGATGGAAAATCTTACGGCAGGAATTCGCATGCAGCGGAAATGGAGATGCGGGATGATGTCATATTGAATGCGTTCCATGCTCGCGGTTTCTTACCTGAAAAGGCCCCAAGCGGAGCGACGGCACGGGATTCCAGGTCCCTCTGCCCCTTCCTTTCCGCCGAAGTTGGCGTCGCCTCGTGTTGCACCATCTGCTTCTCATTCTGCGACTGCTGGTGCGGTTGATGTTGCTGCGGCTGTTGCTGCTGCTGAGGCTTGTCTGCCCACGCGAATATAGTGCGGGACCCTGACACACATCGAGGCGCCTTCAAAACATCTGCGGTGGGACATGGATAGAGTCGTTGTTAAGGCGAGCATGCGATACAATCTCTAACTGAATGATGCAACACAACATTCGTCGTCGCAGCAGCAGGCATATAGCGTACCCTGGCTTCTTGAGGAGAAGAGGAGTCCGAAGGCTAGGCATGCTTCGAAGAGCCAGAGAAGTCGTGGAAGCCATGGTGGCAGTCGTCCGCAAAGATTCAAGAAGCACAAAGACCAAACGCTCGCACGAGAAACGAAAAGGCCACGGGCGTGTGCTTCGTCGACTCTCTGTAGTAATGAGCCTCGCGAGGGTTGCCTTTAGCTTAGCGTTGCAGGGAACCAGAGGCTGTGGGATAATGAATTCGAGCATCGTGGTAGCCTCTTATACCTCACCAATGCTGCTCTGCGGCACCGAATTCGAATTGCTCGAAGCGGCACGCAATTCCATTCTCACGCGCCTCGGTCTTTCCAGAAGCATTCCAACGAGAAGATACTGTACAGTGCTTGCTTCAGTGGTGTACTCTGAGTTTGTGACTGGATATTATGTGACACGATTTCATTACAGGGTGGAGGGCAATCTCGGCACTGAGAGTTGGTAACTCTGATGTCTCTGCTCTACGGGCCATATTTGACGTTACACTAGGATTTCTGCAAGCTCTAGAGAGTACTTTCCGTACGTATATATTGTTTTCTTCAAAACGCGTGGGATAGTAGCAGTCCAATCGTTCAGGTAGGCAACCAAGCCATAGGCATTCATGGGACTGGGTAAAAACTACACAACGTTCTGCTTTGGTTTCATCATAATGCCTCCATCCTTCCCCAGCAATCAGTCAGTTCAGTTGGCATAGATCTGGGAGAAACAGAAACAGGGCAGAGAAACACCAGGCAAGGCAGGAAGAGAATGAGGAATCAAAGGAGCCTGGTAGAGGAACTGCCCCAAGACAGAGGAATCAGAGGGGCCATAACATGACATGCTTGGACTTTAGGGAACTCTGGTGCAGACACACGGTTGTGGAACTCATTACACCTACAATCTTGCAACTCAAGGTTGCAAAAACATAGGTCCGACCATAGGTGCAGCACAGCAGCGATCACCGCACAGCAACCGGTATTATGGTGCCACCTGGCACAGTAACTCACAGCGACTGCCATCACAGCGGCTCACAGCGACTGCCACTACGGCACCTCACAGCGGCCGAGACCGCATGTCGATGTATGCCCAGCCCCAGCCCCTCCACAAGCCACGAGCGCATGACGATGTACGCGTGCTTTCGGTACCTCACAAGGGCCTCGGGATTACCTCACAAGGGCCTCGGAATTACCTCACAAGGGCCTCGGGATCACCTCACAAGGGCCTCGGAATTACCTCACAAGGGCCTCGGAATTACCTCACAAGGGCCTCGGAATTACCTCACAAGGGCCTCGGGATTACCTCACAAGGGCCTCGGGATTACCTCACAAGGGCCTCGGGATTACCTCACAAGGGCCTTGGAATTACCTCACAAGGGCCTCGGAATTACCTCACAAGGGCCTCGGAATTACCTCACAAGGGCCTCGGAATTACCTCACAAGGGCCTCGGGATTACCTCACAAGGGCCTCGGAATTACCTCACAAGGGCCTCGGGATTACCTCACAAGGGCCTCGGGATTACCTCACAAGGGCCTCGGAATTACCTCACAAGGGCCTCGGAATTACCTCACAAGGGCCTCGGAATTACCTCACAGCACCTCATAGCGGGCGAGAGCGCATGTCGATGTACGCGTGGGCGTCCGCGAGGGGCATTTCCAGCCCGTCCACGAGCCCTCTGGCCACCACACGGCGGTACGCGTCGGAGGGCGGGTTCATGGGCAGCTTGCGCAGGCGGAACTTGGACAGGTCTGACTCGGAACAGCTGATGGTGTGAGAGAGATCATTGGGAGGACGACAGGGGGGTGGGGGGTTGGAAGGAGGGCAGAGGGCGCAGGGAGGTGGTTGGAGGTTGAAGGGCGACGGCGGGAAGGTGGGGGGGGCGAAGAAGAAATCAGGTTTTGTGAGAAGGGGTCATGGGGAAGTAGCAGAGAGGAAACAATATGTTGTGCGCAGCGAACAATCAAATCAAGTTGGTTTGATAAGCACAGAGAGGCTTGGTGGGATTTGCAGCTGTGGAAAGTGGTGGTGCTTGGTACTGTCAAGGTTGGGCAGGTTAGTCGAAATGGTGAGTGAGCATGGGGGCATGGGGACATGGGGGCAAGGGAGCTTGGGCGCGTGGGAGGGCATGGAGGCAAGGGGGCAAGGGGTTAAGGGGGCAAGGGGGCAAGGGGGCAAGGGGGCAAGGGGGCAAGGGGGCAAGGGGGCAAGGGGGCAAAGGGGCAAGGGGGCAAAGGGGCAAGGTGGCAAGGGAGCATGTGAGGTGAGAATGGGAGCAGACCTGAAGGTGAGTATTGGGCATCCATCATCAAAGCCCAGTAGCAGCACAGTGCCGTACCAGCCATCCTGTTAGGCCATGTACGCACACATAGACACAGGGGAACCACAAGGGGGAGTTACGGAGTGGGAGAAGGACAAAGAAACGATGTGAATGGAAGAGCGTAGTGGAGAATAACAGTGGAAAATTCAGGCGTGCAGATAACGAGAACTGCCCCAGTTTGAAAGGAACACAAAACGTCTAGTTCCCACGGAAGCACCCATATGTGCATGTGCATGTGCCATGCAGTATGTGTGCATGTGCACATATGCTCTCAACTCTAACATGACTCGCTTCAAGGTTCCGCAAGCAGAAGAGGGGTAAACGGTGTTCCAGGGTACAGGAGCAACAGGGGGAAAGGGGAGAGGAGAAGAGGCGGAAAGCTGACAGCGGTCGTGAGAGGATGAAGGAACTAAAGCGTACCGGAAGGATCTCGTGGAAAGCAGAGGGGGAAGGCTGTTGTTTTGCTGCTGTGGAAGCAGAAGCTCCTACTGCCGCAGCAGCGGCAGCAGCAGCATCGCTGGGCTTGGCTTGAGAGTCCGATATGGTGGAGGCTGATGGTTCTGCTGCTGCTGCTGCTGCTGCCATTGTTGCGTCCCCTGCTGCTCCTACTACTGCCCCAGGCATTGATGTGAGTGCTGTTGGTGTGCTGCTAGACTCGAATGGGACAGAGGGTGAGGGCCCTTGCAGTGACGAGGCGGGGCCAGGATTGATGGAAGGGACAGCGTTGAGCAAGCGGGAGGAGAGGAGTGCGAGGAGGGAGAGGGAGAGAAGCGAATGGTTGGAAGAGGCGAGGAGAGCGGCGGATCGGGAGTTCTCCTGTGCTACCACCTCATTGAACTGGCGCAGACTGGTGGGGAGGGGTGGTGTTGTGTGTGCGTGCATGGTGGTAGGGAGGGATGGAGAGAGGGAAGAGGACAATGAATGGGATGGAGTGAGTGTTGGGGAAGGGATGGGGCGTTGAGTGTGGGGGTGTTGGTGCAGTGTATGCAGCAGGTGACAATGATTATCGCAGCAGGCACTGATATGCACCTGAAACGCCACTCTTCCCTTCATTCGCTCGTGCAGAACTGTCAACGCACGGACACTCACACTTACACTTGCACTTCACTCGATTACTCACTATTCCACACCACACACACACGCATGCACTCACTCACGCATACACACACACACGCAAGCAAGCACGAACGCACAGACCCACTCACGTGATCTTATACATGCGCACATATGTGTGCACTGTGTCCGGGTGCCCTCCCCTTGACCCTGGTGGGTGGTGCGCTTGCATCCCTGCCTCCCCCCCCATGCCTGCTGCTCCAGAGACAGCAGGACCAGATACAGAAGCAGCAGCAGAAGCAGAGAGAGGAGTGGCAATCTCTGGGAAGGAAAAGGGTGAGGATGAGGAGGAGGATGATGATGATGAGGAGGACGAAGAGGTGGAGGAGGAGGAAGAAGGGTGGAGGTCCAGAAAGCAAACCCCGCCATGGCCCCACGTGGAGGTTCGGGTCCTGCCGAACCACATCCGGTGCGGCACAGCAATCCACTTGGAGGCTCGGGGCGGCGTGGGGTCAGAGCAGCCGTGGCAGGGATGGGTCATGCCATCCACGGCCCCTCCCTGTATGTAGCACATGAACCGCTCTTCCAGCATGTTAGACCCATAGCTTGCGTACCACACAAGAGTCTCCGCCTCTTTCCTCCACTCCTCCTTCCACTCCTCCCTCCACTCCCCGCTCTCGGTTTTCAAGCTAACCTCCTCGGGTTTGCTCTCTGCCTCGATCCCTTCCCAGTAGGTTCCGTTCTCCCCTTTTGCCTCTGATTCGCTCTCACCGGCGTTGCCCCCCCCCTCCCGTCCTTCAACGGCGGTGGCTGCTGCTAGAGTTGGACTGACTCCTGCTGCTCGCACCTGCTGCTGCTGCTGCTGCTGCTCCGTACCATTAGCAACAGCACCCATGCCTGCCCCATCTCGAGTCTCTTCTGTTGCTACCCCCGCACTCTCCCCATCCTCTCTAAACCCCATGCCCCGCGTGCCACTCTCCACTTCCCCTGCCCCAACTCCTGGCAGGTCCTCAAAGTCTATAGAGGCATCGGACGGGGTAGAGGGGGATGTGGGCTGACGGTGGGGGATGTGGCGGTGTGGGGGGGGTAGCAGTGGTGCCGGGGGAGTAAAATAGGACAGAGGTATGATGACAGAAGGTTCATAGGCTTGTCATACAGATGTGCGCGTGCATGCATGGATGTGATGGCATGGATATGCATTTGAGCGGTGTAACGCACGTGGAAGCATGATTGTACAAGCTCAGCTCAGATATTTTTGTAGGCGTGTGAAATGTATGGGTTGATGCACCTAAAAAAAAATCGTGGGATGGTGACTGTACAAGCTCAACTCAGATGTATCTGCGATTGTAATGTAATGTACGAGCGTTAAGAATGCACGAGCGCACACCCATGCGCACCTGCGTGCTTGCGCCGCACATTTGTGATTGGCATACATGTCTGCATGCGTGTGCATGCATATGTGTGCAAGTGCCTGCATGTGAGTGCACACGTTGCTGGTGGGAGGTGTCTGCATATTCTAAGCGATTGCTCACCATTCCACCTACCTGCATGTCGACCGGAACACCAGCAGAAGCGAGAGCAGCGGCAGCGGCAGCAGTGGCAGCAACATGCGCCATCTCAGCTTGGGAGAGATGCGAGAAGAGGGCATCCATGGATAGAGCGGGGGGGACAGCAGCAGTGGTGGACGCGATGTGGGGAGGCAAGGAAGAGGGGGGGTGGGAAGCGGCGGGGGTGGAGGAGGAGGCGTGGAGGGATGCGAGGGAGTGCAGAAAGGTGGAGAGGTCGAGAGGCGAGGCGAGGCACGGCCACCACTGGGACAGATGCTTGCGCACCTGGTGAGGGGAGAGCGTGAGGGTGGAGCAGGGGCGAGGGGAGGAGGGGCGAGGGGAGGTAGAGGAGAGTGCGGTGGGATGAGAGGAGAGGAAAATAGCAAAGGCACTTCAGGTTCAGGCTCGATCGTGATTTAGAAAGTACAAGGTCGGGACGGGATTCACATTATAGCAGATGCTAGAAGAGTTCGAGCTGTGACAGAAGAGTGTGGTCGTATGCCTGCTTCCTTTGCTGTGCAGTCACAGCTGAATCATTCAAAAGGTGAAGCGCGCGTGTGGGAACAGTTTTGATGCGTCTCAAAAAGCAAGTGAGCGTGCGAATACAAGATTGTGCTGTATCTAACACACGGTTCATTCATGTCAGCACAGAGCGGCGGGTGGTGGAGAAGATCGTGGAATTCATAGTGCGCAGATGGTACTTTTGAGAATTCTCAAAGGGCACGAAATTGAAAGCATTGTGCGGCACAGGGATGCTGGGGAGGGACGCTTCCCCTTGTTGTTTGCCGGGGGATTGCTTTCATGCCTACTACCAACGCACACTAAAGGATGCTCTGGAGGTGCGAATGCGTGGAGTTATGGTTAGGGTGAGGGTTTATAGTTTGGGTTTGGGTTTGAGGTTTGGCACTGGAGTCGGTGGGGGGGGTGGTGGGGAAGATGGTGGAGTTCATGGTGCGCAACGGGCACGAGTTTGAGAGCATCGTGCGGCAGAGGGACGCGGGGGAGGGGCGCTTCCCTTTCTTGTTGCGGGAGACCGCTTCCATGCCTACTACCAGCGAACACTAAAGGAAGCTCTAGAGGTGAGAGAATGTGTGGACTCAGGAACACAAGACATGGGAGGTTAGGGTTTAAGATTTACGGTGAGCGTTAGGGTTTAGGTGCCAGGGCTGGGAGCTAGGGGTGGTGGGGAAGATGGTGGGGTTTACAGTGCGCAACGGGCATGAGTTTGAGAGCATCGTGCGGCAGAGGGATGCGGGGGAGGGGCGCTTCCCTTTCTTGTTGCGGGAGACCGCTTCCATGCCTACTACCAGCGCACACTGCAGGAGGCTCTGGAGATGAGAGTGAGAGGGACTAAGAGGGAGGAACATGGGCACCATAGCTAGTGCTTCCCCTTCCCGTTGCCAAGAGACCGCTTCCACAGCTACTACCCAGCCAAATCACCTGACACTGCAGTGCATCTGACACCTCCCCTGAAGCACCTGAAATCTCACCTGAAGAACAGTGGCGAGGCCGGACTGGGAGAGGCGAAGGGGCCATTGCGGGGGGGGAGCAGCGATGGGGGGATCACGGAGCATGGCGGAGACACAGGCCGCGAAGCATTGCTCTATGGACTCGAGGTTGTAGCCCCCCTCCAACACCACCACCACTCCCGCTGCTGTTGCTTGTAGCAGCTGGGGCACCGAGGGGTGGGGGGGGGAGGGATGGGGAGGGATGGGGAGGGACGGAGGGGTAATGGTACAAGGGGGAGTGTGATGAAGAGGATGGGTAGGAGGCGACGGACGGGGGAGCGAGGAAGGCGAGCTGGCCATGCGAGAGGATGATGGGAAAGGAAAGGGGGGAGAGGAGGGGGAAAGGGAGCCAATAGATCAGGAAGGAAGTAGAAGAGGTGGGAGTGAGAAGAGAAGGAAGGGAGCCGTGCAAGGTCATCCGGAAGAGAAAGCATGCATGCTGCTGAACCCTGCTCATGCGATTTGCTTGGATGGTGCGAGGGGAATCGCAATGTCAAGGGCAAGGGCAGGGGCAGGGGCAAGGGCAAGGGCACCTTGTGTGTGAGGTGCGAGTAGCCAAAGGGCGTCAGCTTGCACCCGCCAAGAGGATCGTTCACCGCTGCACCATGCCATGCCATGCCATGCCATGCCATACCATGCCAGGCCATGCCATGCCATGCCATGCCAGGCCATGCCATGCCATGCCATGCCATACCATGCCATGCCATGCCATGCCATGCCATGCCATGCCATGCCATGCCATACCATGCCATGCCATGCCATGCCATGCCATGCCATGCCATGCCAGGCCATGCCAGGCGCAACCATGAGCATCATTCCAAGCAGCAAAACCCAAACCAGGGACGACGAGAGGAAAGCAATGTTCCACACTATTATGATCACGATGCAGGCAGACTCTGCCTTGCAGTGCCTCAGCCAACTACCACATGCCCATCAGATGAAATCACACCCAGCAAGCACGAGCACCACCTGGGGCTGGCTCTGACACCGATGCAGCAGCGCGGCAGGTATTCAAGTCAGCTCAGCTCACTAGTCACCTCCTCACAACAACCACTCCCCCTTTCCCCTTCCCTGTCCCCTCCTCCTCCCTCACCAGCATCGAACCCAACAGACACGAGCACGAGCTGAGGCTGGAACGCATGCAGCAGCAGCAGTGTTTTGAGTCAGCTCAAAACTCACCTCATTACAACAACACCCCCCACCCTTTCTCCCTCCCCCCTCTCTCACCAGCATCAAACCCAGCGGACACGAGCACGAGCTGGGGCTGGAAGGCGTGCAGCAGCGGCAGCAGCAGCAGGTCCCAGGCGGCAAGGTAGTCCCCGTCGCCGTACCCGCCGCCCGGCCACGGCACGTTCACGTTGAAGCCCTCGCCCCGCCCCGCCCCCACCATGTCGTAGTCCCCGTCCGGGCCTGCTGGGTAGAACATGCCACCCTGGTAGCTGGTGGGGGAGGCAGGGGGGGTCGGGGGGGTGGGTGGTGGGGGAGATGACAGGTGTGACTTTGACACTACTCCACCTGACCTGCCCTCGCCCCGCCCCGCCCCCACCATGTCATAGTCACCATCCGGGCCTGCCGGGTAGAACATGCCGCCCTGGTAGCTGGGGTGGGGGGGAGAGGGGAGGGGGGGGAGATAGAAACATGCGTGGGTGAAGAAAGGGATGTCGGATGGGAGTTGGGCACTCACGCCCTGCATGCACCAACCCCGCCTGTCTAGCCCCCACCGTGTCGTAGTCACCAGCAGGGCCCGCCGGGTAGAACATGCCATTCTGGTACCTGGGGGGGGTACAGGGGGGGACCAGAGGGGGAAAGGGGAGGGGATTGGAGGGAGATGACAGCTGTGACTAGCTGATGGGGTGGGGGAGGGAAGAGGGAGGAAGGGAGGGTGAGGGAGAGGAGAAAAACAGGGAATGAACGTGCTACCCTGGTAGCTGGGCGTTGGAAGGAAGGAGGGTGGAGAACAGCGAGCACGAGTGGGATACTTCAGAGGATATCGAAAAAGGAGGGGGAAAGGAACAAGCGCGAGTGGGTGGGAGGGGCAAGGAGCGGGGCGTACCGGTGCACACTGAAGTAGAGGAGGCGCGGGTCGGTCCAGAACATGTGCTGAATGCCGTTGCCATGGTGCACGTCCCAGTCCACCACCAGGATGCGCTGCACACTGCCGCTGTCCTGCTCCCATGCCATGCATGCATGCATGCATGCACATTCGTCCATTCATGACGGCATGCATTCATTCGTTCATTCATGCATGCATGGGCATATGATGCAAAGGCATGGTGAGTGAATGACGCATGGTATGGCACGGATGGTGTGGTGTGGAGTGGTACGTTTTAATCTGGTGTGGTGTGGTGTGGAGTGGTGTGGTACGGTAGAGTAGGGTATGGTATGCCGTGGTATGGTTCTTGGCAGAGAGGGCAGCGTTTTTTAAGAACCAGCAGAAGCTCATAAGGCAGGCAGGCAGCTCTAGAGTCATGGTTGGCAGGCAGGCAGGCAGTCGCGTCAAAACAAAAGTCGCCCCATGAGCAGGCAGGCAACAAGGCTTGTCCTAAGGCGACTAAGGCACCCACGAGCAGGTGCTTGGCGGCGAGGGCGACGTTGTTGAAGAGGCAGAAGCCCATGGGGCAGTGCGCCTCCGCATGGTGCCCTGGCGGCCGCACCGCTGCTGCTCCGTGATGTAGCTTGTGCGCTGCCACCTGCTGGGATAGCTGAAGGGGGGAAGACGAGAGGGCGAGGGAGAGGGGAGGCGGGAAGGATAGAGGCAGTGAGAGGGAAGGAGATGGATGAAGAGGCAAGAGCAGAGATGAACGAGGGGGGAGGAGGGTTCGGGGGGGGGGGGGGGGGAGGGGGGGGAAAGGGAGGGTTGCACTATTGCAAGACACATGCTTGCCTGGCAGGAAGAACGGGGCAAACAATGTGTGGTTTTGCCACAGAGGCCTACGGATGGGCAATGCAGCAAGCCATGAATGGCAGCCAAATCGGAGTAAAGAAGAAGTCAGACAACGAACCAGCAGACGACAAAGACGAAGCAGAGTGCAAGCATGTGTATGCAGACAACGGTGGGTGGGCGGGTGGGTGGGTGGGTGGGTGGGTGGGTGGGTAGCAGCATGTGCATGAGTGAGCAGCGAGGTGACCTCAGCGACGGAGCCAGCAGCAAGGAGCGCAGAGGATGAGGAGCCCTCATTGAAGAAGATGGAGTTGAAGGCGCGGCTGCACGCCTCGCGCTCCTCCGCGCTCAGCTGCTCGCTGCTCACGGCGCGGATGAACGCCACGTGGTCGCGCGTGTGCACCGCCTGCAGCTCCTCGTCCCTCGCCTCGCGCGCTGGCACTCGGATGCACCTGGGGGGGTGCCCGGGGTCGGAGGTGTGGCCGAGTGGGCCGGGGTGGCCGGGTTGATGGGATGGGAAAGAGGTGGGGGGAGGGGGAAGGGGGTGTTGGGTGGGAGGGGCGGTGGGGGGGGGGAGAGAGGAGGGTTGAGGGGAATGTGGGGGAGAACAAGATAGTAGAAGCAGGAAGGAGTTAACGGTGGGTGCGCGGAGGAAACGGGGGGAGCAAGGGAGTGTGGGGGAATGGGAAGGAGAGGGTGGGAAGGGAGTGGGGGGGGAGAAGGGGGGGAAGACAGGGGTGTGTGTGTGGGCGGTCGAACGGCAAGGCAAGCGGGCCCGAGCCCCCTTTGACTTGCACAGGCAGAGCAAGGCGGCAAAGGATGGGAGCAGGGCGGCAAGGCAAGGGAGCACAGCGCACCGGTGGGCGAGGCCGGTGGAGTGCAGGTAGGAGAAGATGCGGTGGATGCGCGCGGGCTGCTCGGGGTGGTCCATCTCCGGGTCCTGGTGCGCCATCATGCGCTCGTCGTACACCAACCCCACCCTCCGCGCCCCCGCCCCCGCTCCTTCTCCTACTGCGCCTGATTCTGCCGAAACTGCTGCTGCTGCTGCTGTGGGGCCTGCTGTTTCTGATGTGGTTGGTTTGACTGGTGGTGCTGCTGGGAGAGGGGATGCGGCGGGGTGGTGGTAACCAGTCGCGGGTGGTTGCACCGGCGGGCGATCGGAGACCGAGAGCGCGCTCAGATGCGAGTCCTCCGCCGTGCTCCCCGCCGCGGACGCCGGCGGAAAGCGCGCGGAGTCCGCTTCCGCGATTGACGGCGCGATCGACGGCGGAGAGGGCTGAATGTTCATGCTGGACGGGCCGTCCTGCATCCTCGTGTCGCCTTGGTGGGTGGGCTCCATGTCACCCGCTGAATTAACAGCTTTAGGAGTAACTATGGCAAAAAAAGGAACTGGGAGCAATGCGGAGGAAAAATGCGGGAGCTCAAGCAGGTTCAGGGGGAAGAGAGTTCGGCAGATGAAGATTAATATTAATGCGGCGATGAGGAACCTGAGAAATAAGGGAAGGCGCGGGTGGCGACGAATTGGAACGAGAAATCTGGTCCACGTGTGAGTGCTCGTCGCCTGTCGCTGTTCGGACCTCGTACGAAGCCGCCTGCGGCTAGCGACGGACCAAAACGTGAGCTTTGAATCTGCCGTTTCCCTGTTTTTCTGTGCAAAGAAAGAATCTTTGCCGTTTTGCCTACTAGCGGCGTGGCACGTAGCTCGGATTAGAGTCGCGTCACCGCCATTAAAGCTGAAGTATACATTTGTCATCCAGGTTTTGGGTTTAGAAAGTCACCTCACGGTCTCACAGGCAAACTTTCAAATTTCAGAAGTTTTTGAACCCCTTCTGTCAAATGTATACGAAAGCTTTAATTCACAGCGGCTGACATAACAATTGTATGGGTACTTGAGTAGGCAGCGAAAGACCACGTCCGCTGATATAACAACAAACGCTCCCTTATTTGTTGAAGGGAAAATATGTGAATGTCGAGAACATTATGTTTGTTTACGTCTATTGTATATCCAAGGCAAAAAATATAAAACCCTTATGGATGGCATCAGGGCTTATTTTATCAGGGTAAATTACCCTGATACCCTGATAATCAGGGTGAATTTTTAGGGTCACACTTTGGCGTAAAAAAAAAAATAGAGATCACATTTTGCCTTATCAATCAGGGTTGCCACTTTGGGTACACTTTAGCATAAAAGTAACTTGCCCTGTTAGTGCGTTTTACCCTGAAGCGAGTATAAGGCATCTTCCCTGGGTGCCCCCTCCCCCACCGCCCTGTACCCGGGTCCCCACCCCGACGCGCGAATCCCGATAAATTAGCCCTGTACGTGTGTTGGCAGCAGTCAAATTTACGGTACGATTCTTGTCTTCACCTGCCAACACACTTACCTAGCAAGTTGTCAAACTGTGTTTGTATGTCTGTAGGCTGTAGTGGGGTAGCCTCTACTGAGTACAACACTTTAGGGTTAGACCTAGTACTTGTACTCATCTCATGCTTCTTGTCAATCATTCCTGCACGTTAATTCTGACATGGTATTCAGAGCAGGTCCCTCCGTAGGACCGCTTCGTTAGGGCCCACCGCTAGTTTCGAACTGCCCGAACTGCCCTGCCCGTTTGTTCCTGCCCTGCCCGAACAGCGTCCCTCACGCTGCCCTGCCTGCGCTACCCTATGCGCTCTGCCTTGCCCTACGCGCTGCCCGCTTGCTGCCCAGCGCGCGACCCGCACGCTGTCCTGCTCGCGCTGCCTGAGCTCGCCGCGCGCTCTGCTTGCACGCTGCGCCCGCTGCCCGTGCGCTGCCTGCACCGCCCGCGCGCTGCATTTGCTGCCCGCGCGCTGCTCGCCCCGCCCGCGATCTGCCTGCGCGCTGCCTTCACCGCCGACGCCCTGCCCGCACACCGCGCGTCCTACCTGCGCACTGCCCGCACGCTGCTGGCACCGCCAGCGCACTGCCCCTACGCCCCGTGCCGCCCGTGCTCTGCCCGCACAGCCCGCGCACTGTCTTGCGCCGCCTGCACGCGCCCTGCACACGCTGCAGCTGCTGCTAAGCTGCTGCTGCCGCCCTTGCTGCGCTGCCCTGCCCTGTCGAGCCGCGCCGCCCTGCCCGAGCCGTGCCGCGCCGCCCAGCCGAGCCGTGCCGCCCTGCTGAACCGCCCAGCTCAGCCGCCCTGCCTAGCTGCCCAGCCGAGCTGCTTTTGCTGCCGTACCTGTTTGCTACTGCTGCTGCTGCTGCTGCTGCTGCTGCCACTGCTACTGCCCACTATGGCTACGCTTAATGTCCTTACCTTTGACACGGAGGGTCGCCCGATTAGGTTTGACTGCTGGCTCGAGGATCTCCAGCTGTACCTGCAGAGCATGGCTAGGGAGGACGTTTCACTGTTAGAGCACACGTCTGGTTCTTGCCTTGCCCCCGAGGAGTCAGCTGATCGTGTTCTTCGTACGCGCGACACTGCCGCCCGCCTTTCTGTCCGCAATGCCCTCCCGCTAGACGAAAGGGTCCATTTTGGCCAGCTTAAGACGGCGAAGGAACTCTATGACGCCGTAGTTGCTCGCTACTCCTCCCCCTCTACTGCTGCCCTAGGCCGTATCATGCTGCCGTACCTTTTTCCTGAGCTGTCGGACTTCCACACTGTCGCTGACCTCATAACCCACCTTCGCTCTAGTGACGCTCGCTACCGCGCCGCTCTCAAGCCGGTCTTTCTGACTGCGAACCAGCCCCCGATGTACATCACTCTTTACTACCTCGTTACTCGCCTCCCTGACTCCCTCCGCGCCGTTAGGGATCACTTCCTCGCTCTTGACCCCACTGAGATCCCGCTTGCCTTGCTGGAGAAGCATCTCCTCGAGGCCGAGACCAGTACTGTCGATGTAGCTGCCTCTCGCGGCACTCCCCGCTCCCCCCTCTTTGAGGGGTGTTCTCCCTCCCTTCTCGCGCCCTCTGTTGCTACTGCTGCTGCTGTTGACTTCCTTCGTACCGAGGAGGTCGGTGCTGCGTCTGCTCCTAGTGGGAGGCGCCGCAGTGGCAAGGGCAAGGGGGGTAAGGGTGGTGGGGGTGGCGCTGGCGGGGGTGGTGGCGGGGGTAGTGGCGGTGGTGGTGGCGGGGGCGGAGGCGGTGGTGGCGGCAGTGAAGGTGGCGGGGGTGGTGGAGGCGGTGGAGTGGGCGGAGGGGGCTCGGGTGGCGGTCGGGGTGGAGCTGGCAGGGGCAGAGGCTACGGGGCGGCGACTGGGAGTGCAGCTCGTGGCGGCGGAGGCACTGGGGGTGGACACCAACAGCAGCCACGCCAGCAGGAGCCACGCACCCCTCAGGAGCTTCGTGAGTGGGTTGTCCAGTGTGGCTCCTCTAGGGATAGTGTTCGTTGCCCGTACATCAGGCTCTCCGGACCCAGGATTGGCGAGCCCTGCAGGAAGACTGGGCACACTGAGTATGGTTGCTTCTGCCGTCTCGAGGATGCCTGGCGCACCGAGTTCGGAGATGAGCAGGAGATCCCCAACTAGTTAGGATTGCTAGGGAAGGGGGTGGATGTGTTTGCTCTTGACTTTGCCAAGATCAATGCTGGACTCTATGCTATGTATGCTAGTTCTGCTAGTGTTGAGGGTGACTGTTACTCGTGTGTGTGCTTGTATTGTTCGAGTGTACCCACGCGTACTGTATAATGTGGTGGAGCAAGATTGTAGAATGATGGAATTTTTAGCGCGCAGCGTCGAAATTATGGCAGCTAGCAAGTAAGCCAGATGTGACGCAATGTCAGAGTGAAATGTGCGGACCAAGCGAGGCGCAATGGAACCAGCGTGGGTAGATGAGGGGGTGACAGGAAAGTCACAAAAACGGTGGGACGTTTCTGGGGCTTTGGGGGACTTCTTGTAAGCTTTTCCGTAGAAAAACCTACGGGAGCCAAAAATGGGTCGTTGACAAATCCGCGATGGGGTCACACTTCTAAGTCAGAAATGGAAATCCAGGTAGCTGTGTGCCTAGCATATTCACACACGAGCCTCCACAGTCCTCCCTTGTCCGGCAGTCCCCTCCGGCTCTCTCCCGGGTCTCCACCTCCCCTCGTTCTCTACGAACTTGGTGAGTAACGCTGTCCTCCAGGACGAGTTGGTCAGTACCTTTACTCCTGGACGTAAGCGTGTGGCGATCTGTACGGACTCACGCACTGGCAACCACCTCGCCACGTTCACCCGGAGGCCTGGGTCTAGCCTGTACACACTGACCACTGAGTCTGCACAGGTGGCTGCGTCAGGTCAGGGGGCTGCGTCTGGTCAGTTAGCTGCATCTTGTTCGTGTCGGCTACTCACGCACCAGACTCTCCTCTGGCACCACCGTCTTGGTCACCCCTCCCTGCCGCGCCTTCGTGGCATGCACTCTCGTCTCCTTGTCTCTGGCTTCCCCAGGTCCCTGCCCCCGCTCCCGCGCTCGCTTGCACCACCGTGCCTTCCCTGCGTCGAGGGGCGGCAGCGCGTCGCTCCTCACACCTCCTCGTTTCCTCCGACCGCTGCTCCTCTACAGACTCTCCACATGGACGTGTGGGGCCCAGCCCGCTTTCGTGGACAGGACCAGGAGCGCTACTTTCTGCTTGTTGTTGACGACTACACGCGCTACACCACTGTCTTCCCCTTGCGGAGCAAGGCGGATGTCTGCGGTGTTTTGATCCTCTGGATCACTGCTGTTCGTCGCCAGCTGAGCGCGCGGTTTCAGCAGGACCTCCAGGTCCTGCGACTGCACTTTGACAAAGGCGGTGAGTTTTCCTCCCGCCTCCTTGAGAACTTTTGTCGTGCGGAGGGCATCGCCCAGTCGTTCACGCTTCCGGCCTCTCCACAGCAGAATGGGATTGCTGAGCGTCGCACAGGCTTGATCATGGAGGTTGCTCGCACCTCCATGATCCATGCGGCTGCTCCCCATTTTCTGTGGCCGTTTGCGGTCCGATACGCCGCGCATCAGCTAAACCTCTGGCCCCGTGTCTCTGT